TAATGGTGGTGTGGTAGATAGTTGAAGAAAGTACAATTTTTTGACGCGTCGGCGGAAACGCGCTAGTGTAGTCAGACTTTTGACCCCCCATGTATTATAAAAAGGCTGGCAAATAATGTAATGAGAACTTTATCACGTCTGCGTCTTTAAGAAATATTCAATATCAATGGTTATACGACCTTCTCCAGGAGGGTAAGAGGAAGTTGTTTGTAGTCTGGACTCCACGCAGTTAAAGACATCACACGAAGGCAGAAGACTTGGACCTTGATCGATGGAACCATGTAATGACACTCTTTCTCAACTGTCTATTCCTTCACCTTTTTGTTGCAGACAATCTGTCGTATGGTGTATCCACAACGCCCTCTACATTTACATTAGACGTAGGTCATGAATGTGATATGGATAGCAGGTAGTTTTCCATACTTCATGCCCCACGTCTGTTACATCTAGCTAGTATACGTAGACCTTACAGTTAAAGGAAATCTTGAAGAGATTCAAGTCTAAAAGCCGGAGAGAATGATCTGCTAGCTTCATATATTTATAGATGGCTGCAGAGATAGGGTCTATTAGGGCGGTGGTATCACAATTGTGGCACGAGGCATAAAAGTCCCATTTGATATTGTCAAGAGTACCATTAGCGCAAACACAGCTACCCTAATTGAAGATAGATAAGTATTTCAGACTGAACTGCGAATGCTACTTTACTATTCTATAGTTTACTTGAGTTTATCCGAGGTTCAGAACTTGCACTCCGTGCCCACCATCGCGTTCACGTTGGCCTACATGTAACCAGGCTAAATAAGACAAGCTACAGTACTAATAAGACAGAAAATAGCATAACGTCTTCCTCTTATGGGCCGCAATATGGCATTCATAGGGCAATAATAGACAATATCATGATGTCAATTAGTTAAGGAACTGACCTTACTATGTATTTAGCCCGGGACTTTCAAGTTCCGGCGTCTATGCAGTTATGGCAAAGCTGACAAGGGTTTAAAAAACATGTCACATTTGAGGTGTTCATAAACCCTCCATTCTAGTAGCACTATATGCCGGTATTGGTGCTGGACGAGGTTGGCCAGGCCTGTCGACGGTTAGCGCGAATGGTAGAATCGCATATCGCATCAGTTAAGACAACGGTCAGATCACTACTAGCTCGAGGCGGGGACCCTTGTGTTGAATTACCCTCCTGGAGATCATCAACTGACGTGTCCGACTGCCAGTCAATCGGAGCCACAGTCTGATGGCGCGCGATGTTCTGTGCTAGTTCCCGCAGCATCGCATCATACGGGATTCAAAATATTCAGCAGGAACCCTGACAGTGCGCAGGCTAATGGCGTCGGCTCAGCCAGTGTCCACAACCCCAATGCAAACACCATCCGCGTCTGTAAGTCTTGCAAGCAACGCCCATAGCACAGCCATGTAGAAGTTGTATAGGGTAGTCTGAGATCGCTTGCGCCGAGTTAGACCGCTCTTTACCACAAGCACATCCTTGCAGAGGTGCATCATGCATGTCCCAGACATTTAGGTACAGTTACAGCACCGAAGCACACCGCAACTGGAAGGAATTCTCTACATAGGGACTAGTATACTCAAACTAGCGCTCAATATTGAAACCAAGCGTCATCCAAAAGCGGGTTCACCGACCATATCAGTGGGAATCTCTCAGTAAACCTGACTTTTGCACACGGGCATAAATTCCCCCAGCTGAAGACAACCAACCTGAGTGTGGCACCACTAACTCACGATTCTTGAGTTCTTGCTCAACGTAGAACAGACCATGCAGTGATAGCGCCAATCACCGAAAGGAAAGCAGCCCATCGAGTAAGACCACGCTTAATATGAGATCTCGCCACCGCTTCCATGGCTTTTCCATCATTGATGCGCGGAAATGCGATGTCCTTGGGCACATCCTTGCCAAGTGCCTTGCACAGCGGCTCCCAACCCTCCCTCACATCAAAAAACACCAGACGGTCCTGGGGCACAACTTCCTTTAACCAAGCAATATGACGGTGGTAAAGATTCTCCATCGATACTAGCTCCCCGTATATCTGACGTCGCTGTTTTGGAATGTAGGAAATCCACTCAACGAAATGTCTCATCCCAGGAAGCGGCAGGAGAACAGCCGGAAGGAACCATAACGTCGCCAGGTGGCGGACCTGCGCATAACTCTTCACCCAGGCTTCCGGATCTCGAATGGTACAGATGACTATGGCATCAGGGTACAGTTCTAGAAGTTCTGGGACGAGTTGCGAGCCGGGAACATCGGTGATAGCAGCATATCCATCTAATCTCTCCTCCAGAAGAGTAAGTGCTTTCTCTCGGTCCTGTGGCACTCCGGTCAGGCAGTTCTGCAGGATCTTGATCCATGACTTTATTTCTTCTGGTGGCCCCATCGTCACTTGTGTCCCACCATGATAGACTGGGCCTTCAAGAAGGATATTTAAAGCGCTGCTAAAGGACGCCGTTCCCGTCCGAGAGAGACCAGCCCCGATGACTTGGATCTTTGTTCCATGTTGGGGAGTAGAAGCCTGTTGGCCCATCTTGTGAGGGAGGATATATAGAGGGCTCGAGTCAAGTAGCTAATAGCAAAGGTTACCTCGTGGCGGTTTGGAACAATTCAAGAGGAGGATAGTGTTGGGAAGACAGAAAGCGTGTTTACGGGGGCGTGAAAGGGATTTATGGCTGAGCCAAGCTCTCCAGCATATGCATGTTGGTGAGTGGCGTAGAAGAAATGACGCAAAGTGAAAAAGCGCTTTCTTTTCATGACTGTCCATTCTTGTGCCCGTTGTCCTAGCTACGGAGTATCTGCATAGAGAGTGGTATTATTGCCCTCCCTTGCTGATTAGGGTCCAAGAATCAGCGAATCTATAGGGCTTAACGCTTTTCATGTATTTGCCCCTTACAGTGTCTCTTCCAACGGTCAAGAAGAGTTGGTCTTGTTAACTCGGAAGTAACATAGGATATACAAATCTGTTCTTCCCACAACTAGGGATATTATACAATAAAACGAATAGCAATCAGAAGTACTACTTTACCAGCCTAAAGTAATACACCAGGTGACGGGTTTGCTAAAGAGACAATTCGTCTAATTTAAAGGTGATATCTTTATCACAAGCTACCAATGATCCCTCAAAGGCTTTGACTACAGCTCTCGGTTCTGTACCGCTTGTTACAAATTAGACCCTTGCTAAGTGCTGATGGATGCGATACCCATCATAGTTATAGAGCTCTTGTATCTAATTGTAAAAACTCTCTGTTGATTCTATTATTATTCTGAATCTCTCCGATTGTATATACTTAGCGAAAGGAAATGTATAGTACATTATCGCTACAGAATCTTATTCTAGTTTTAGGAAAGAAGTCTGGGGTAAGCTCCTAAGTCCGGTTGAAAGTTGTCTACATAGCTAGTTGTCTAGTAGAAGCAAGTCTGTCTTTTTCAGGGTTACTCTACTTTGTCTAAGCCAGCCGGAAAGCATGGTTTGATTTGGTAGCCACTGTGCATAGTGATAAAACGTCAAGCCCAGCAGGCTGCAGTTTCCATTTGTGTATGATCACTACGCAAGCTTGTAATGCTCCCCTCAGCCTCACCTCTAAGTGCTTGTCATTATACCGGTCACAGTTTCTCGGAATTGTAATACGTGCTCATGCGGTATTTTGTCTCACCATCGTACTGAGATAGGTCCTGCAGTGCCTGCAAACCCTCTCGTTGAATAGTGGAACGGATCTGCTGGCTGCGAGGGGTAATTCGGCACTCAAACGGGTTGGGCCGCATATTGAGGCCATTCCTATGATACACGGGCAATTAGTCACTACATACTAGTCATCAAGAACACGGATAACCATGGCAGCACTTACGTATAATCAAAGATATCCACAGGAATTTCATTTCCGTGCTGGTCCAGCGCCTTTCGAAATTCGAACCCCCATAGTAATCGTGCAATGGTGATGAACGTCCCCTGCTCAGCGAGACCCTGGCCGCTGCACACTCGCCGTCCCCATCCAAATGTCATGTAGCCCTTTTCGACCGGGAATGGACGATGAACAGGGCTTCCTTCAATATATCGATCCGGATTGAAGCGGTCGGGCTCGGGGAATTCTCGCTCGTGATGGTGAATTGCCCACACATTCCCCTGTACCCAGGTATTTCTAGGAATCAGCCAGCCCTAAGGAGGTCCATCGTATCAGCAACATCTAGACATGAATAGACAGGAGGTCTAAGGAAGCGCATGGTACCTTAAAGCTATCATCCTTAATCGGCGCATGCGGCTGTCCCCCGATAATAGCGACCGACCTCCACCGCAGCACCTCTTTTACAAATGCCTTCACATAGGGCAGGTCAGGTTCATCATCGAACGTCGGACTCCGGTGTGGCCCCACCACCCGGTCAAGCGCTTCCCATGCCCTGGGCAGCGTCTCCGGGAAGGCACAGCAAGCGAGAACAAAAGTAACAAGCGTGGAGCTAGATGTGTCGCTGCCTGCCCCGAACAGATTCCCCGAGAGCGAGGAGATCTCCATTTTGGTAAGGTCATGCTTCGGCGCTTCCTCAAAGAGTTTCTGTGCGTAGCACTGTCTTGCCTCTGGATCACTGGCGACCTCCTCTGCTAGCGCGTAGAAAAAGGGCCTGCCACGTCCTTGTCCATTGCCCAAACCGTGCTTCCAGGGTGCCATCCAGTTGGGGAATTTGGCGAGAACTAGACCTGGTTAACGGATGGCACAGGAAGTAGGATATTTTGATACAAGACTCACAAGGAAACGATTCCATCAACATGGGAAACGACTTCCCCGGCACATTCAGCTCCGCCGCCCGCTGCATCACCGCAATCACCTCCGTGATAATCGGGTCCGTATATGCAGACACACGTCGGCCAAACCCGATTATGGAGACTACACTCGTCGCGTACCTCTCGAAATGGCTCACATACTCCTTGGGTTCGCGCAGGAGGTCCAAAGCAACGACCTTGCTCTCATCGTTCTGGAACCCGCGGTAGTTGCGCACTTGCTGTAGCCCAACCCCCATATGTGTTAGCTTCCTGTGCAGCCGCCACCGATCTCCATAGTACATGTTGACCATATTAGACTGGCCAGCGCCGAGCTCGCTAAAGACGACCATCCGTGGGCGGGAGGCGTAGATCGCGGCTCGCTTGTTGAGGAGTTCGTTGGCTGCCCAGGCGTCGCAGATCCAGATGGTTGGTCGCCGGCCTGTCCAGAACGTGATCAGGGGTGTGTTGTATTCCCTTGCCAGGTTTTCGAAGTAGATCCATGGTTTTTGGTCGGGAAGGAGATGTGTATTTCCGATTAAGGGTAGCGGAAATGGGCCTGGTGGCTGTAGCCAATTGTTAGCGCTGCTATTAGGCTATTATTTATCTGATACTGGCGGGCGCTTGCCATTCGGAAATGGAGATATATCATATATCCATAGTCTACGATCAAGACCAGTCCCAGAATTACCATTACCAGCGGTAATGCTGTGGTGAGAGTTACTTTGCTCCATCCAGGTTGGCTGAGCATGTACTCACCCTGGATGAGAGCAAAGAGTTGCTCTAGCCTTTCGACTATCATGGTTCTTCAGCGGTGATGTGGGAATAGAGAGCTACTACGGTAGCTACTTCAACTCGCTATTTACATATATTTACAGTTCCCCACTTCACGCCCCTTCGGATAAGAATATATACCAGGATCGCAATGATAGTCCCCTGCGGGGTATCATCGTCTGAGCTTGTTGTGAAATCGACATGGAGATTGGGTCTGCAAAGTGGCGGCACAAGTGGCGGTAATCCCGCTGCTGAACTTACCCCACATGCTGCACTGCTTGCAGAAGTCTGGGGAAAGGATTGGCATCGTCTCACGTTATAGGTAGCAATTGTGATCACAGAGCTTCCTTGCATTGTTTCTCTGTTATGTTGGGGCTTGCAGTCATAGGGCAAAGTCATCACAATCAGTCATAATACAATGTGTCTATATTCAGGTTAACATGATATCATTGTTTGATTGATGTTCTATCTCGATCAGCCCTAACATATTCCACCCGCTACGGCAGATGTTCGGAGCACATTTGTGGGGTTTGTGGGGTAATTCCAACCGATCTCTGAGAAGAAGGACATTTGCGTGATCTCAAGAAAAGATCCGACTGAGTCATAGATATTCCAAAGACCGCTATTGACGGGACCTCGGAGTCAGACAGGTAGATGACTGTCAAGTTCTCGGCATAGTCTTTTATAGCCGAAGCTGCGAATCGATAGGTGGGGATACACCTTGAAAAAGAAGTGGCGCTGCCCTGGGCCTTGAAGCTGTAACAAATGTTGCAATTATCTCTCGTAAATATAGTAAAGGCTTGCCTTGCTGAACCATCATGGCAGAGCTTAGTATATCCACGACAACATTATGGCAGAACCGAAAATGTCTGTTCCTCTGCTCTCTGGTCTCGATGGCCAACCTGCAATATGGATTTGACCTGGCTGCCATCGGATCTCTCCAGGCCATGCCGGGCTTCCTCAAAGTATTTGGATACCCAGACCCAGGCTCTGAAACAGGATACGCAATTGACGTGAGATTATATCTCTTTCACAACAACACACATGCACACACTAACGGACCACCAATGCATATAGAGCACAGTCCAACAGCTGATAACGTCTCTCCTCACCCTGGGCTCCTTCGTCTCTTCACTGGTAGCAGGCTTCTTCTCGGCCTACCTAGGTCGCCGGCATGCCCTGTGGCTCGCGTGCATCGTCAACGCCATCGCATGCGCAATCCAAATAGGCGCCCCTTCCGCAGGACCGCTATACGTGGGACGACTACTACTAGGATTCGCGAATGGATTCCTGGTTACATTCTCCAACATCTACACTGCCGAGGCATCGCCAGCCCATCTGCGTGGCGTGATGGTTGCTCTATTCGCGTACTGGGTGAACATCGGCAGCATTCTGGGTGCCGCGGTGGATAACAAGACCAAGGAGAGGATGGATCGCCTTTCATATCGGATTCCCTTGGCTTGCCTCTACATCGTCCCTACGTTCCTCTCCATGGCGCTGTTCTTCGTCCCCGAGAGTCCACGGTGGCTTCTCCATCGAGGAAAAGTCCCAGCGGCGAGACAAGCACTAGAACAGCTTCGCGGCACCAGCTACGCCACCCTCCGTGCATCATCCAGCGATGACGAGATTGCCCCATCTCTCCTCGAACTGGAATGGGCGGAGATGATCAAGGGCGTTGAGGAAGAAAGGCGCGAGCAGGGTACCGTTACAGCGTTGAACATGTTCCGCGGTGAGTTGCACCCCTTCCATCTCGAAAAGAAATGTCCACTCATCTACAAATGTAATGGAATCGACCTCCGCCGCACAATCCTCTGCTACTGCATGATCGGCTGCCAATCCGCGTCCGGCGTGTGGTTCCTCATCGGCTACCAAACCTACTTCTTCAGCGTATCCGGGATCACCAAAGCCTTCGAGTTCTCGATCATGAACACCTGCTTCGGCTTCCTGGGTGTCAACATCGGCATGTACGCCATCCGGAACTGGCTCGGCCGGCGCGCAATCCTCATGCTCGGCGCCGTCGCCTGCGGCCTATGCCAACTCGGAAGCGCCATTGCCGCCACCGTGAGCCCCAACTCTCTGCCCACCGGCCAGGCGCTGGTGGCCTTCACGGCGCTGTTCATGTTCTTCTACAACGGCTGCGTGGGCGCCGCCAGTTACCCCGTCGCGACGGAGCTGGTCCGCTCGAGGTTGCGCGCGTGGACGGTCGGCACGGCCACGTCGTTGGGCTACCTGCTGGCTTGGTTGGTGAACTTCTGTACCCCGTACTTTATCAATCCTGAGCATTTGAATTGGGTGAGTTTGTCTGTCTCTTCTGTTTCTCTCGCTCGTATGTCGGCGTTGAAACTCACACGGATTTGCTATGTAGGGCGCCCGCTACGGCTATATCTGGGCTGGGTCGAACCTGGCCTGTGTCGTCTTCTTCTACTTCTTTATTCCGGAAATGAAGGGTCGCTCGCTGGAGGAGTTGGATGAGATCTTCGCTGCTGGGGTCTCGGCTCGCAGGTTCGCGTCCTATCAGTGTCTTATTGGGGAGGCGGCTAGAATTGATGCTGTCCATGCGGAGGGTCGGAAACATACCTTGGATATGTAGTTTAGAACAGATATGGGAGTATTTTGAATATCTGTGCTATCGTTTATGCTATCAAGATGAACTTTGCCAACCACTGTATTCGATATCTAGTGAATTTTCGTTCACGAAGTATTTGATGGTGGAAATGGCTACTATTGAACTCCTGGAAGAAAGACTATTAACAGGTAAAAGAAACTGTGTACTGTCAGCTAGAAAGAGCCATGGGATAAGATTGGTGTCCTACCTAGGGCTGGTTTGAAGGGCTGAACAGGGAAACGGGCTTTCAGGATGTGAAGAATAGTTAGTAGAATTAGGGTTAAATCAGCGCATATTGCCAGTTCTTGGGTTACAGGTTTTCTAGTATATGCTTAACTCTCCTGAACCCATCTACATATAGACGACCGTGCTACCATCGCTATGTTAGGGAGTTGCTGCGCAAGACAGTATCCTCACTAGACCTATATGCGCATAACCCAACCGCCACGGGGGAGTCAAAAGAGCTAAGCAGCCCGCGTGGGAAACTCCTCCAATTGTTTGTCGTCCAAAACTTGTCAAGTGGGACCTATCAATCAAGACATGGGGTCTGCAGGTGGTTCATTCAGGCTCACGAGAGCTTCATCCCTTACAGCGGCAGAGATGTGAGTGATGTGATGTGTCACTTCATCCCGAATCCTGCAGACGAAGTGCTGGTATTGTAGGCCAATAACACATGGACAAGCTGAAGATCAGAACGAACTGATGCATCTTAAACTTCCCAGAATTATTAATGACATGCGTTGATTGGATAGATGGCAAGACCCAAAGATGATTCGCTCATAGCATAAAGTATCAATGCGTCCATGACACTTCGTACCAACAAAAGTACGCCCATGAACCTGTTTTCCGCCCTATAAATCTCGAAACGCCTATCTTCGATAACCTAGTAAGATTCTTTGCTTTTGGCCTTCCTCTGCGACCGGCAATATTATCTCCTTGCTTCTTGCCTGCGCGAAGCTCTAGACACAGCTGAAAGGAGTGGGACAAAGCCTGTGCCGCCATGGTCTCTATACTTCTACTTCTCACAATTAGCCTTGTTGGGTTATATCTCGTTCGATCTCTCCTCAGCAAAAAACAATCTCTGGGAACTTTACCACCAGGTCCTCCCCGAAAACCAATAATCGGCAATCTAACGGACCTGCCATCCCACGATGTGCGTGATTGGGAATACTGGCTGAAGCACAAAGACCTCTATGGTAGATGCCTCGCATGCAGAATACCTCCTTCTCAAGCGAGGTAGTAACATTGAACAGGTCCGATCAGCTCATTGAGTATCTTCGGCGACAATATCGTCATCCTCAATGACGCCCGCTTCGCACGGGAAATCCTCGAAAAGCGCTCGTCTGTCTGGTCCTCCAGGCCTAGTTGGAACTTCGGTAAAATGTTCGCCTTCATCGCAGCTGACATCCTTGCACTTGGCAATGGCTGACACCAGTCCAGGGCTGGTTGGGGTCAGATTCTAGGCACCTTGGAATACTCCGACCCTTCGTTTAAGGACATGCGGAAAGCCCTAGGCTATGAGATTGGGTCGAAGGCGGCTGTGTCTCGATTCAACGCGGTGCAGGATCTTGAGGTTCGTCGGTTTCTATTTCGTGTCCTGGAGGATCCGGACAACCTCCTTCACCATATACGCAAGTATAGTTTGCACTATCCCGCTTGAGATAAGAAGTGTCTATGCTGACAAAGTCACTAGAGAAGCCGGTGCTATCGTTTTAAAAGTCGCATATGGCTATACGATTGAGCCACATGGGCATGACCCCCTCGTTGACCTCGCGGATGAGGCTATGGCTACTTTCGGGCTGGCAATTCTTCCTGGGACGTGGGCGGTGGATTTCATTCCCATCTGTACGTGGATGGGGGTAACCTTTCTTGGCGATGCTGGAGTTGACTTGAGTATCAGTGAAACATATACCTACATGGTTTCCGGGGGCTCAGTTTGCACGAATGGCCAAGCAGTTCCGAAAGAGTGTTGCGGCTTTCAGTGATGTGCCCTATGCATTTGCGAAACACAAACTGGCTCAGCAAGACTTCGAGCCCTCTTTTCTGGCCGGGTTACTCCAGAAGAATGAGTACCAGCCTGGACACGGGTCGTATGAAGAAACAGTAATAAAGTGGGCAGCTGCGTCCTTCTATGGAGGGGGATCTGATACGGTATACATTCATTTTTGCCCTTCTGCACGTCAACTAACGCTGATTGCTGCCAGACTGTATCCACCATGTCGAGTTTCTTCCTTGTGATGGCGCTCTTCCCTGAGGCGCAACGGAAGGCGCAAGCGGAAATTGATCGTGTTGTAGGGCCAGACCGTCTACCTAGCTTCCAAGATCGCGAGAATCTCCCGTATATTGATGCCATGGTCAAAGAAATCTTGCGGTGGCATCCGGTTCTCCCAATGGGTACCGCGCACACTTCCGTTCAGGACGATAGCTATGAAGGGTATACATTTCCCAAAGGAACTCTCATGGTCCCGAATGTCTGGTGCGTATCGTCCTGTTTGTGACACCTACTCTATGAAGGTCGTTTCAGCCCAATTGTTCAAATGAGGGCCCAATGGAACACGGCCATTTTGTCCTTGGGAGACAGATCAAGTTCCAGAGAGTCATCCACTAACTTCATCCAGGGCTTTTACGCACGACCCCAATACCTACCCAGATCCTCACGCCTTTAAGCCAGAACGCTTCCTAAGATATGAAGGACACGACCCGGAGGCCAATCCGTACTACTTCGTCTTCGGGTTCGGCCGCCGTGTGTGTCCAGGCCGCACACTAGCCGATGCGAACCTGTATATCTCCATTGCTCAATCAGTGGCGGCCTTTACCATCACTAAGCCGATTCAAGATGGCAAGGAGGTCGATCTACGGGCCGAATATCAAGCGGGTGCGATCAGTCACCCGATGTCATACAAGGTTACTATCACGCCGCGTAGCCCGCGGTATGAGGAGCTTATTCGGGCAGTGGAGACGGAGCATCCGTGGGAAACGAGCCATGCCGAGGAACTTAAGGATCTGAGTCGGTAATGCTTGACGTGGGTATTTGAGTTCTTTGAAAGAATAAAGAGTTTTTCTTTGGCTTCTCGTTTCTCATCCTGGAGGTATGGGGAAGACGGTGTCGTTCATGGCTGTCCTTCGGGAACGATATATTGTCCACAGTGTCTCCACTCAAAGACGGATGGTGTTCCATGGTACTAGAGGACATACCACAATCGCAGCCGGTGGCTTGGTAGATTATTTGAGCTACGGAATGAGTATGTATCCAGGGTCGAGGAACAAGAAAGGGCCTAGATGCGGCCACCGGAAGACATACTTTGGCGCAACCCAACCCAGCAAAAGAAGCGTAGCGACATTCAGAAAGAATCCTCCAGAGACGGAGGGAAAAGCTATTGGTGAAAAAAAAGATGGAGATGCGGGGAATTGAACCCCGGACCTTTCACATGCTAAGCGAACATTATACCACTAAACCACATCCCCAATTCGATATAAGAGGCTTCATTAAAGTGTTATATGAGGCATGGTCAACAGTTAGGTCAATTCCGAACCCGCAGACCTGCGCATTCCAGCCAGATTCCAAGAATGCGGTCAACATCCAGAGTTCAGCTAATGCGGCGACCCACGTGGACAGGGAGATCATCTTGTTGAGACATTTGTTCCAGACCGTCCAGTGAGGTATGTGGCGTGATATTCCCGACCGCCTGTTCACGGACAATGGAGAGCGAGTTGGTGATGGGGGCCGAGCATCGCGGAGGAGACTCCGGAAATATATAGTTGTCTGACATGATGCAGGTCGTTACATATCATGTCCCACCAACCCCATAACTTCTCCCGTGTATGTCGGCGGACGACAAGGCAAGTTTACCTTCTGTCAGACCGACTAACTTGCCGGGATTCTCCCGTAGAAGTTTAATTATAGTATCGAGTGGAGTGAGATCATCATCCAAAATGTCACTGCCTGATGTCGTGGCTGTGGAAATTAGACGTATGCAGCTGAGACAGGCAACCGAATTTCAACCCTGAGCGGCCAGGGATTTCCGAGCGCATTTTCCACCGCAGTCGAGATACCTGGCTGATCAATCTGGACGACCGGATTCGAGATGGAGTGGTTGAGCTGTGAGACCTACAGTGACAGCTCACGAGGTGGAGGAGAGCATGCATCGCTCGACGTGCTGTGAAGCCAGAAAACGGAGTCCGTGTCTTAAGGTATGCAGCCCACATTTCAAGGTGGAGACCTGCTGTGGGCACTGTGAGACTGGGCAGGAATGCTGTATGGTCTCACGACGACTCGGGCGCTAAGTGTGCGCCTGACGATGACGATGACGAGGAATGAGTTTTTGCAAAGTGGATTCCTGGTCTGGTGAAATTGAGCGTGGCTGGATATACGATGCAACGACAAGGGTGAGGCTGTTGCGTCCACAAGTCTGAAACGATGGAAAATCAAGTGTATCGGAACCCGCGACCGATAAATACAGGGCGCTAGGCTGAACCGGGGAAGGTTGGTTCAGCTACCACGGTTTTTGCATGCAGGAACACACGATCTCCACTAATCAGGATGAATCCCCAGCCACCCCCAGCCACCCCGATACCCAGCACCTGACCTAGGCCCCCGCCCTGCAACCAATCAGCCTGGCCATCGGGCGTAATAACGTAAGATTGGTAACTGACATACTTTCCATATCGCTCAGATCGGCTTATCGCCAACTCTTGTTTGGTTTCCCCTCCCTTTCTGCATCTTCATCTCATCCTTTCCTCTTCCTCTCCGATCGGGCCTTTGTGTCTTTGGTTTAATCAACTTCCCCCCTGCAGGTGTTAAGCCCCTGTCGTAAAGAAAAAACAAGACTCCGGTGTGGGCGGCCACCATTGGTTTTTCTTCTGTTTGTTATTGTGGCCGTTGGTTGCATAGATCCCTGGTATTATTGTACTACACCTGTCCCCCAAAGTCCGCAAATTGTTTTCGTTGCGACGAATGCGGTGGCTTCCAGTGATATCGCATTCCTTTGATTAATTGCCCTTCGTTCCGCTCGGGCGACTTGTCAATTGACAGTCATTATAACATGGCCTCCAAACCGCCCCGGTTGTCGATGATCAACCATGCTGCCGGCATCTACGCAGATATGTCCGTTGATGGGCCTGCTATCGGAACTCTGGTTCTCGTCGTGGATCGGGCGAAGAACCTTCCCAATAGAAAGACAATGGGGAAGCAAAATCCCTACTGTGCGGCTCGTTTAGGGAAAGAAGCGAAGAAAACCGACACTGACTTGCGAGGGGGCCAAACGCCGAGATGGTACGCGCCCAAAACTTCCTTTGTTTGATCTCAGTCTCGTCTCTCTCTCTTCTCTTCCGAACCACCTGGTCTCGACCAGCGCGTGTTGACATTTTCTAGGGATCAAGAACTTCGATTTACCGTACATGAGTCACCCGACTATTTCAGACTCAAGGTAACCATATTCAACGACGACAAAAGAACCGACCTCATCGGGGAGACCTGGATTGATCTGAAAGACTTGATCATCCCCGGGGGTAGCCAGAGTGATCACTGGCATCCATTGCAGTTTCGTGGCAAGTATGCCGGTGAAGTTCGTATCGAGATGACTTACTACGACACTAGGCCAGAAGATGAGGCAGTGATTGAACGACGGACACAAGCCGTGGAGAAGGTCAATGTCCACGGCAAACCGAGTGCCTCAAGCTCAAGCTTAAACTCAAGATCGAGTCCAGCGCCAATCAGCTCCTCTTCGTCTCTATCAGGACCCCGACAATTGAAAGAGGTCAAGCGACGTCCACTACCCAGTGGTCCTCCGGGTTCAGCTCCGGCACGTCCTGCGCTTCCCGAGAAGATTGCTTCGGCTCCTCCAGCACCTACCCAATCCCCTCCTCGACCGACTCCCGAGCACACTCATTCCACTCCACCCCTCCCAACCCATGATCACTCTCACTCTACGCCATCCCCAGTGGAATATGCACGCCACTCGTCGCGACCTTCCGGGCTTCCGGAGGTCCCCTTTGATGCGCTAGCATATGGTCCACCACCGGGGACAGCCTCGCACCCCGGGAGAACCTATGAAACCCCTGATGATTTCCACCGAGAGTGGAATAATCCACCCCATCAGGCTCCACCTCCCCCGAGGCGTCATCCGCAGGAAGTATCCTACCATTCGTACCGTGAAAGGGCAGACTCGTATGATACGCGCTCTCACGCACGACCGCGGTCTGGATATGGCAATGCACCGCCCCCAGACTTCCGCTCTTCAAGGCATGACCGGCCAACAAGTCGATCAGGACCAGAGATGTATGCGCCTATGTCAGAGGCAACGCCACCACGTCCGAGTAGCCACCACAGCAACCATTATGCATTCGCCTCCCCAGAGCAGTATGTGCCCAATGAAATCGCGCAGGTACAGCAAGTCGCCCGGTACAGGCAACGTTCCCCGGCGAACATCCGCGAGCCTCAGGTAGAATATGGATCCCACCCGGTGGAAACGGAACCTCGGTATCGCCCGCATAGCAACTCCCTGGTGAAAGAAACCAGCCCCATCCGCCCCCCTAGTAGTCGTGAAAACCTGCCGGCAGAGTATGCAACGATGCAGCCCCGGGTGGAAGACGAAGAAGAGGAGGGCCCTCCACCTCCGCCTCCGGTTCATCGGTCCGGCCTGGTGCAGACCAGTCAGCAGTTAGTACCGTCACCAACCCCATCGTACCAAGCTTACTCGCCAGAGTTTGCAACTCCTCGGACCTCCCAAGAAATCAACATGTCGCAGCCGTCGCACATGCTGTCCGACGGGGGCCGGATGCAGGACCTCCCTCCACATACGAACGGCCCGCCCGTGCCCCCCAGTCTAGTCGCCGGGTTTGATCCCGCCATTGCAGAGGCCGAGTCGGACCGCGCGGAAAATGAACGGCGCCAGAGCCGAAGACGCAGTGAGCTGATCGAAGAGATCATCATGCCGCTCGAGTCGACGTCCATGATTGTGCCGTACCCCGTCGAACCTTCCCCGCCGATCATGGACGACCGCCGTTCGCTGATCAGCAGAGGATCAGCCCATTCATCAGCCCATTCATCAGAGACTCGTCTCGTTCCTCGCCGGAAATCGGTCAGTCCCCGGCCACCACCCCTCGGCGAGCGGGAGGCTTCTCAAATCCCCTTCTCTCCGGATTCGTTTGACGCCTTCAATCCAAATGCAGCTCGCGCGGCGGTCCTCCGGGACCCAGCGCCGGCATATGAAACACCCGCTGAGGCGATGGACGCCGCCCGACGGTCCGAGAGGGAAGCCGCGCGGGACCCGGGCCCGATCATCGGTGATGATGGTCGAGAGATCGATCCCTCTGACCACCTCCCGACCGATACATGGGCTCCGGAGCCAGAACGGAAGACCAAGAAATCCGGGGTGGTAGTCCGCTTCAAGAATGTCCCACGAAAGAGGAGCCCCGCACCACCGCCTGTTAGGGAATATGCACCACGCTCCCGGCCCTTGGTGGATGGAGGATATAGACGTCCCCAATCATACGTGGCGGATCCGGCTGTTCGAACCTCACCTGGGGAGAACCGTGGTCGCGCACTCTCTCCTTACAGACATGGGCGGACAATGAGTTCCCCGAACACAGCCCCTTCTCACCGAACGTCTGTCTCCCCATCTCCGCGCGGTCACTCCCCGTCAAGCTTGTACGCCCCAGTCAACACCGGCCCGCCCATTCCAGCCAAGGTGCCGATTGCCCAACCAATGAACCAGAACTACCCGGTGATGGGTGGTAACGGGACTCCCCAGGGCTATCCTGTGGCGGGTGGTCACCAGGGAATGGACGCGCTGAGTCGAGAGTTGAATACCATCGACATTGGGTCCGTGGGGTGCAACAACCAACGGGCACTGAGGAGATACGTCCCCAAACTGCCTGCGGGATATGCCGCGTGAATTCGGCCCATGACGTGATGAACTTTTCCCTTTCTCTTTTTTTTTTTTTTTGTTTATTTAGTTATTTTGGCCTCTAAGACTGCATGGAGAATGAAAAATGTACGAATGTGGTTTCTGGGAATCTTTTTTTTTCGGGCGGCGTTCAGGTTTATTATACACTAAGATATCTATACATACGCAGATTGCTATTTGGCACCGGTTAGGGTGGTGATATGAGGTAGAGCATGATCACGAATATAAAAGACGATTCGCATTGCATTGGATTACTTCAAAGACCGAATCCCTGGTCCATTCATCTCTGATTTCGCCATGCCCACCTATCACCTCCAGGAATCTACAAAACCTCACCAAGACCAACAACCCAACAGTGAAGAAAAAGAAGATCCCCCTTTGTCTCCAACCCACCCACCAGAATGCCTATGCCTCCCCAACCAGGCACCAATATAACCTCCTCTCTCCAATGAAAACACCACACCCACGCACAATTCGCCACATAAAAACCCCCATATATAAGCGTAAAAAGAAAGAACCCTCCCATCATCCCATATCCCCCCCTAACAAAGCCATCCATCCCAACCCCTAAAACAACTAAAGACAATCCACCCCCTTAACAGAAAGAAAGAAAGAAGAAGAAGAAGAAGAAAAGAAAAACATGCACCAGAAAGAAATCCAAGAACAACAACCTCCCCCACCCTGCGAATTCACAAACCCCTGTCCAGCAATCGACGACGAGAAGGATAACAACCCGCGCCGGAAAGTCATCTCGCATATCTTTGGCCGCAATAAGTATGCCACGAAGCGGTTCCCGGACCATGTCTGGGTGCATTACTGTCGACAGCATTACCAGCGTGCGCGGTATCGGGTCGAGTGGCCGGTTACGCAGTGCGAGTTGTTGATGGTTGTGCTTGGGCGCATGGAGAGGTGGGGTGGGGTGTCGGGGTGGGAGGTTGTGTTGAGGAAGAGGGAGGTGCAGCGGTTGAAAGGGGAGGATGGAGGAGGAGAGGAGGTTATTACTGCTACTACTACTACTGGTGCTGGGGGGAGGCATTCGTCGTCGTCTGCCTTTTCTGGGCTTACTCCTGTGCAGGGCCAATGTGGCAGACGCAGGAAACCGACCATTGTGGCTTCGCCTGTGGCCGATTGGCTTCTGAGGGAAGTTGGTCGGGATAAGTCTTTCGCGGATTTGCGCGACCTGGTCCGTCGGGTGCGCGAGGATATGGATTCTCTGCGCGGACGGGGCGTGCCGGCTCGTCGGATCGTGTTTCCGGATATTGAGCTTTTACCAACGTTTCAGTCTTGGGTTCTGGCGCCGGTGACGAAGGGGCGGAGGGTGAGGAGGGATGCAGGTAGAGGGAAGAAGGGTGGCAATGGGAAGAAGGGTTCTAGGGTTAATGGGAAGGGGGCCGTGAAGAGGGTTCATGGGTGAGATTGATCGAACAACCTTTTCTTTTCATTTTGAAGTTGAGATGGATTGGAACAACTCGTTAAGTTGCATTCCTGTTGTTTAGTCAGTCCTGGACAGTGTGATGTTGAAGTCAGTCAGTGTCGTCCATTGGACAGAAACTCACGTGTCATAAACATTACTCGTAGACATCTAGTCTGTATGTACATTCAAAAAGAGCGAAAACCACCGGGCTAAAAAGAATGCAGAAGCAGGGGAAAGAAGGGAAGCTGCAGAACAACGCAGAACCGCGAATCAGAGATGCACCACCGTAAACGTATATCGAATCGTGCCACCGTTGGCAAATCGTCTCCAGAAGAACGGAATTAAGAATGGTCAGGAATCAATTCATAGCCACCTTCCGACGGCAGCACGCGACCGGCAATAATCAGGGCGGCCGCACAGAGCAAGCTAATACACCAGCTGATGATGCAATAGACCCAGGACTCGTCCAGTCTCCAGCCGGGGAAAAACCGCGTGTCATGGTCATATAAATACGCCTGAAGCAGAAATGTTTAGCACGCATCACCGTTTTCAGTCAGCCAGATCGACCCAAACCTACCACAATCGACATGCTCGCCGCCTGCACAATGGCCGATAACACGATCAACAAACTAAGAACCTTCCACCCGGATTCCCGCAATCGCTTCCCACCGGACAATATGATCAGGAATGCAACAATACTCATGCCCTCCAAAACGACGGCAAAGGACATAAGGAAGCCCACGGAGCGCCACATGGAACAGAAATAGCGGCCCCGACCACTGCAATCCTCCTGCTGGGGGAAGCTAACGCAGACATCGGTGACTGAGGAACAGCGCCGATGCAGGCCGTATGAATACCAGATCTAGATCGACAAAGGGTTAGCACGCATGCTGATCAAGGCAGGAAGGCAAGGCGAGAAAGTATGAATGGATCCGCACCTCATCGTTCTGATAACTGATCCATTTTGGGACCACAATGGACGATACGGTTAAGCCGAATGCTGCCTTCCCCGTCAGTCTGTCGTCATACCCGTGCGATTGCGACGGGCGCACTCACACGCTAGAAAGACAATCAATGATGCTGTGTAGACAATGGTTTTCGTTAGAAAGCCCGTGTAGTTTCGGTCTTCGCCGCGCGGCACTAGATGGAAATCCATCGTGGGGAAAAGGAAGTATATATATATCTGATATGAATGACGACAGAGGGAGTAAGAGTTGAGCGATCGCGGCGACCGGCCGATCGGGGAGTTTTAATGACAGGTCTCGAGAGTGGATTACGGGGAATTTAATCCACTCAGGCAAGGTAGAGATGTTTCAACTCGGGAGATAAAGGTTGGTACGGTTAGTGGGATAAGTTTAATGTGTCATGAAAGGAGAGAAGGAGAGAGGAAGGGAGAAGTTCTGGTTTCAATGGGCGAGGGAGAGCGATTAAGTTGGGTTCCTGCCTGAGGTATCTCCCCCGACCAGGTGATAACACGCGGAGCTCCAGCTTCTTTTCCAATACTTCAATGAGGACAATGTGTCGACTGTAGAGCTCGGAATTTGATCCTAAAGACCTCCAGTATTCAAGGACAATTGCTGATTTAAAGCTAGACGGTCACGAGAAGAGAAGAAGCGAAATCAAAATGGAACCGAGATTTTTTTTGTGCTTCGGGTCGATAAAAAATCAAGGAAAGGCAAGTATGAAGGGAACAGGTGACCCGGACTCACGATCGTCGCCTTGTTGCATGTTGTACAGTACATACATACATACATACATACTACTAGTAGTACAGAGTACACCCATACCATACCACTGGATGGTATGATGGTATGTGCTGGATGCATGGACTTATTCGACCGTGACAGGAAACTCACCCCCTCAAATCCACCGTCCGGTCACAACTCACCGACAAAATATTGTGTATACCATACCTGGCCAGTTGAGTTTCTTCCAAGACCGATGAGAATCGGGCGGTTGGTCTGATACGCAGGGTTGCATACGAGAAAATCCCTCAGGATCGGTCCAAGCGCCCCCCGCTTTGAACGGTAAGATATCAACTCTAATTCCTTAGTCCCCATCGACTAGTCGTGTCATATCACCCAAGCTCTGGCCAGCAATGGTGCTGAGACTGTCGTGACTAAAGCAGGCCATTCTGTCGCGAAATACGGGTCGAATCCGTGAATGGTACTAACCTGTATCCATCTTCGTCTCCCGCATATTTTATATCATGTACAAAACGCGTGCGCGTTGACGTCACGTTACATGGACAGTCATATTATGAGAACTCATGCTGTGAGGTTTAGGAGGGGGTGCGGGAAGCAATGACTAGTAGTAATTCAACCCTCCTGCATATTTCACGATGGGTGGTGTCTAGGATCGTAAAGTTCCATGCATGATAGGAGTACTAACCAACGTCAAGGGAGCCATGAACGAGATTCGCGGATTCATTCCGATGGGAGACGGTGTACGTCCTCCCGGGTTATCTAGCAACGACGACTAACTAGGTAGTGACATCAAAAATAATGGGGGATAAAGGAAGCAAAGAGAAGAGCCCGCAGGAACAAAGACGACAAAGACACATCAAAGTAATCTACAGTCAACGGCGACCTGCAAATCCAGCTGCAAAAATAGTGGTCGAAACTTGATCATGGTACTTATACAACGAACACGGCAAATGCAAGTGAAAGGGCACCCACCAGGGACATGTGTGACAGAGAGCTCAAATCAATTCTTCATTTCATAAGAAACATATGGAAATAGAACAGAAAAACAAAGAAAAAAAAATTAAGGGCAAGCGACTGGGGAGGAACGCCAAACCTGCCATGCAATCCGTTGCGCCAAACCTCACTCCTCGCGACCCCGCTGGATCATCGCACGGAAGTCATCATTGCTCTTTTTCGTCTTTCCCCCTTCCACGGAGGGGGCGCTGTCGGTCGTCATCATTGTCGTCGTCGTCATCGTTTTCTCTCCGTTGTGCTCTCCACGAGGGACGGCGCGTTTCACCCCGAGACCTCCCCGCCGGCCACCCCGCGAACCCGGTTGTTGTGGTCGCTTGATCGGCCCCGCGGCCTGGAGGAATGCCCCTTGCTTCTCCTTCGGCTTGCTGGGTGGTGGTATGCGACCGTCCTTATTCTCAGCGGACTGTTTCAGCATCTCCGGTACGGTGCCCACATGCAACTTACGCCCCGGCGCGATCTCCTGGCCCTCGAGCTCCAAAGAAGCCCGACCGGCATGATTGACATCGGCAAACTCCACAATGGCCCCCTGGTGATCCGGCCGTAAGACAATCTTGATCAATTTGCCGTACGGCTCCACCAGGGCCCGAATGCGCGCGTCGTTCACCGTGTCGGGAATATTCATCAGTCCCAAGCTACGGGCAGCCCGTTCACTGCTAGGGGTGTCCGCATCGGCTGATGCTTTACTCCCGTTTACCTCAGCTGCAGGGGACTGAGATTTCCCAACGTGAGATACGATGGTGGTCGCGCTTCGCTTAGTGCTCTGGGGAGCGGAGATCTTCACGTGCAGGGTTCGCAAGCGATACTCTTGCCCGTCCATAGTCAGCGCGGCAGTGGCTTCCTCTTTAGTGGAAAAGACAACATAACCGAAGCCCTTACTGCCACCGTCGACCTTCCTCGGCAGACGGACCAACTCCACGGTCCCATACTTCGAGAAGAGCTCCTTGAGATCAGGCTCACTGGCCTTGAAATCTACATTCGACACGTGGATCTCCCGTCCTTCGTAGATAGGACCATGCCGGTCCTGTTTCCGAGAAGGATCCGAGATCTTGGCCGTTAGCATTAGACCTTTACCAACCGTAGTCCCATCCAACCTCGTGGCCCTATGCGCTGCCTCTGAAGTCTTGAATTGCACGTAACAGAAGCGCCGATGCGTATTATATTTCAGAGATGGGAAGCGAACATCGATGATCTCGCCATACTGCCAAATGTCAGTAATGCCTTAGGGCAACGAGGTAGAAAAAGAGAGATGCAAACAAACTCACCTCACGGAACAGGCCGCGAATGTAGTTTTCGTCTGCCTCCGGGGGAAAGTTGGTGACGAATAATGTCGAGCAAGTCCCAATCTGCACTTCAATGGTACTATCATCCAATGATTTCTGGTCGCGTGTTTGCGCCACAAGGGCTTCGTCCTTGGAATTAAACTCGATGACCGCGACCTCCGAGTTCCCGTCGCCCGAAAACATCTTGACGCTGTTTATCGTACCGCACTGCCATGCTACCAATTAGCTGCAAGTCTATCAGAGGGAAGGTCAAGAAGCACAACGTACATGACGGAAAAATTGTCGAACTTTATGCTCGGTAATCTGATGGGGTAAGTTCTTCACCACCACCATCGCATTTTCCCGGTCTCGCTGAAGGGCCGCTGGCTCTGCTTCCGCAGCCGATGCTTCCTCTTCCCCGCGAGCCTTTTTCGTAGGCAACCCATTTACATTAGCTTCCTCCTCCTCCCGTTTCCTCTTTTCAGGGTGCGCAGCTTGTTCGGTTGATGCGGGTTGTTGTGCTTGCTGTGCGGCCAGTTCTGTTGCGTCACGTTCTCGCCGAGCCGTGATGGCCCGCATGGCCTTCCTAGTTTCCAAAATGGCCAGCTGCAATTCATCGGAGTCCTCGTAATCCTCACAATGGGCGATATAGGTTTGCATGATTTTCTCGGGCCAGTCCAGGTCCGTCCGCTTGATAGCTTGTTTCAATACGGCGGTCGCAAAGCTGGGGTTAGGGGTCCGGCGCGCGGCATCCACAGTGGCTTCGCCTTGCACGAACTTGCTCCATGAGATCAATTCCCATTCGTAGTACGTAAGCCAGAACTCGTAGCTGTTGCCTCGCCGGCCCATCAGACCCTTGAAGGTTTCCCGCGCACTATCCCAGCTGCCACTTTCACTAAGATAACGAATGTAGATGCGCTCGAGGCGAAACAAGGGATCGCCTTGATAAGACCGACCGTACTTCTTCTCCCCGAGCTCTTGAACACTTTCGATGGCAGAGCGGATGCCGACTTCTGCGACGTCGAGATCTTCATCGGTGGAGTCCGACATGAAAGCCCTCCGACGCAGGTAGCTGCACCAGGCCGTATGTACCTTGAGAACCTCCTCCATGCCGGCCACGTCGAGGAGACCAGTGCTGGTGGCCTTGTGTTTAATGTCGGCAATCTTGGAGAAGGACTGTCCCTCCCGTTCTGAGCTGAGTAAATACTGAGACCAAAGGGTACCGGAGCATGGGCAGTGCCGAGTTGCCCGTTCCAGGGTAGAAATCGTCGTGGTGTTCGCATTACCATGCATGGATTCATCGATGAGGAACATAACAAAGTCCTCCCACATGTTGGCGTCGGTCGGGAATCGAAGCACTGCACGCTGATAGACAGCGTTGACCAACTCGAAGTTGGAATGACGGTTGCGATGATTGCTGCTGACTTCCCAGTCAATGTATTCAGTGAAGATGGTCCACTCCTGGGTGAGGTCGCCCGACTCGGCGGCATTGCGGAGTCGGATTTCAAACTCCTCGCGAGCGGAGTACTGTTCTTTGCAAGCCGTTGCATATCGGCCTGCAGTGTCTGCCATGATAGTTTCGTAATTGGCGTTATAATAGGTGGAAACAAAACCCGAGAACGTCTGGAAAGTCTGATCCCAGGTGGCATGAGGGGTTTGCAGTCTGATGTCGAATAGATTCCGCACATGGCCAATTTTCTCCTGACTAGGGTTGCGGGTGATGTCCTGCATCTGCAGATCGAGCAGCCGATCCCAGACCAGATGGCTATCGGGAGTCCTCCACCGAGTCGCTTCGGCGCCCCTCTGCCAGACATCGAGAACCGACTGCCAGGAGAAAACCTCGCGACCGATCATGCGATCCTCTTCCGTCCACTGATGCTGACCCCCCTCGCCGTGCGCAGAGTTATAGAGATAAAGAACCCATTCCCCGTAGATACTCCAAAGCTTCGTACTACCGTACTCTTCCTCCACCGACCGCTGGCAGAGCTCCATCACTGCAATGCGCTCATCCACGGTTTGTGCGAGCATGCTTTCATCCTGTATCCACTCTGCCCAGAGGTCTTCCCCCATGGCAAACAGCTTGTCCATCTCTTCGCGAGCGGTTCGCATATCCTTGAGCAGGTCATATTTCCGCGGATCGCCGTGAAGCTCGGGGTTGTTCGGTGGGTATACATGGTTCACGAATCCCGCATGGAGTAGTCGAACGAAGTTTACATGCGCGTCGTAAGACTGAGGGTTTTCTTGAATTTGAGCAAAAAGCTCGGTTGCCAGCCGCTGTGCATTCGGAACCAACGATGTATCCATATAGTTTCTGCGGGCGGCCTCCCTGGGGCCATCCGACATGGCTATATCGAATGACGATCGTGGCGTCGGTGTATTGTGGGCGACCGAACTGACGTGGGGATACATCGTCGAGGGAGAGAGTTGAGACTCGTACGATTCGGTGCTTCTGAGAAGCGGGGCATTCGAGCGCTGGGGTTGGTGATGCTGCATGGAAGCCAAATCGGCGAGCGTGTCCATTCCAGGGGTCGAGGGCTGTCTAGGAGGAGGTAAGTCTGTCACTGGAGGAGTCCCGCTTCCACTACCCCCGTTGGGACCGACTGTCGGGCTTATCGCTGGCGGCGACGGTTCTGAGACATGCGGCGGCGCAAAAACGTGCTGCGCGAGCGGAGATGAGGTCATGCCCTGTCTGGTTTGGCCGGCGCGATTCTTGCGCAGAGGTTTTGGAGGTGGTCCCGTGGACGGGATGGATGTGTTACTGACAGATGTTGGGGCCGCCGACGGCGAAGACCGCCCCGATTGGGAATTAGACTCCTGCGGCGAGAGGAGTGAATTGATGTCCATCATCGGATTTGATATGGATTTGAAGACGGGGGAAGAAGAATCAGTTGCTTCTGAGGCACTGGGGAAAGTGGGACCCAGAAGCTGACAAAAAGAGAAGTCACCAAATCAAAGAATAGCCTGAAGTCGCCTCATCAACGAGTCCATTCCTGCCCCGGCCACAGCCTGTCTAGACTCTGGAACCGGACAGTGACAATTTCTTTCTGGCGGAAGGGGGGGGGGGTGGGGGGGGGGGGGGGGGGGGGGGGGGGGGGGGGGGGGGGGGGGGTGGTAAACTCAACCACAATAGGCTGCGCAAAACAAGGAGCTAAGAGTCGATTGAGAATGAAGGGAAAAATTTTTTTTTTTTTTCTTCTTTTCTTCTTCCGTTATCAGTGGTTTCAGATAAATTTCTTTTCTTCTTTCAAGCCTTTGTCCTCTTTCTTTTGACACCAGAAGCTCGGGTGGTCCGGGCGCTGACGAATTGATAGAGTGAGGCGCTTCGGGTCGAATAGTGAGACGACCGGGGAGAGAGAATGAGACAGAAGGGGGGTTAGAAACAAGCTATTGAAGGATGGAACGATTCAGCCCGACCATCAAAAGGGAGACAGCTAAGGAACAAGCTGGTGAGCGGCGCGATGCAAAGAATGGAAAAGGCGGAAAGAGTGAATGGGGAAATGCCGCAATGAACCTACAGGTGTAAAAAAAAATAAAAATAAAATACAATAAGAAAGCGTGAGAGCAACACGCTGTACCCTGAAGGACTAAAGGGGAAGAAAAAGAAAACCGAGTCACGGGAAAACGAGGAAATGAAGACGATGAGGGTCGTCGCTGGATCGACACACGGTGGAGATGGGTAAGAGGTAAGAGACTGCTCGAGTCTTCAGTTGAAGGAGGGAAAAGGCAAGAGAGCTCGGCATGTAGAAAAAAAAAATAGCTGAGAGAGAACAAACAGCACAGCACAGTAACAGCTCAACCTGCAAACCGCTCCGTATGGTAAACCTCCCTCTTTCTTTCTCTCTCTCTCTCTCTCCTCCCCTCCACCACGGGGAATTTCCTTTCTACCAACTACATGACTACAAACTACTCGAACCACCACAACGAGAAAGAACACATAAAAATAAAAATAAAGCGGCCAATACAGAGTACAACCGGGGCAGATGGGAATAGCAAATCTCACCGGCCCTGATATTTATGACGAAAGAAAACCGCCGTGCCTCCAATCGGACGATGGGGTTGATTGTCTGCAGTGATCTGTAACTTGGCCCCTAGCGAGACTCTTGTCGATCGAACTGATGACGGTGTAACGGGACTAGAACACGAGACTAGTAGAAATCGACCAGACACAAATCTTAGTAGGTTAAATAAATTCAAGCAAAATTACTAAATCAGATTCACCACAAGAAAATCGCTCAAGGGAGACATGTATCACGATCTCAGAGTCATAGTACATGCATGGCTGCAGATTGCTGGAAAGACACTACTGTATGTACAGACGGAGAGGTAAAGAAAAAGGTAAAGGATTGTTATTTTTTGTTACTATGGGAATAGGGCTGCTCTGAAAGGGGTTTAGCTCGCTGCTCCCAAGAACGACATCCTTGTCGGAGTATGAGGTAATGATACAGGAGAGCGTGCTGCCTGATTGGTGGAAACCCTCATGGCGATGCATGGACCTCCAGAAGCCACATGAGAGCCTGTCCTCGGAAGACGGCTTAACGTCGGAGCCGTCATGTGTGGCTCACCCGAAAAGCTGTGGCTTGACAACTTCCCCCCGAAAGGCACCTGAGAGTCTACGGCGGACCGTAAGAACCTCGGCCGCAGCCAAGCAATTTGCGTCTCTCGACACTTTTTTCCATCGGGTCTCCGAAGTCACGTCCCCCAACCAGCCCATCTGTCTTGCTGGTTGTCCGTCACCATGGCCACTCTTGGTACTCTCAACCCTTACGGGCATCTCGCTCGGTCAGGTAAGTCATCCAATGGCTCTTTTCAGATGGTTCCATCCCGTCAATGGCGAGTTCTCATCGATCCGAATTTCCAGCCCGGACCGGCATCACCTACATCCCTCGCCGCACCTTGACCTATACTGTCCCTCGCCGTGCCCAAGAAAATGGTGACAATGGAAACAAAGAACCTCAATCGAAGTCGGGCGCCTTTTCGTCCATCAAGAACTTCTTCTTCGGCGGGAAGTCCGACGCAAAGCCCACCGTCCACCGGAGGACAGCCCCCCAGAAGCGAGAGGGTAGCCTGAGTGCGGACTCGATTTTTGCGGAGGACGAGGCAACCCCCAAGCTGATTGCATCTGGTCGCACACCGGCTGCCCGTAAACAGGAGGCTGAACCTGCCGAGGGAGAAGAGGTTCAGACTAGCGTGGAACACCGGAACCGAGACAATATGCAGATGGTGTTAGATCCTCGTCCCGAGGCACGTATTCGTTGGGAGCGTAAGATGGTCGTCCGGGAGGTTCGCCGTCGAGGACGTCTGTCAAAGCCCGAACAGATCATGCGCACGGAGCGCGAATCGGTCTCCAAGTCGCACTGGTTCAAGACTTCCGTCAAGAAGCTTGGTCCCCTGGCCCGCCAGATCGCCGGAAAGAACATTGACGAAGCCATGCTACAAATGCGTTTCAGCAAGAAGAAGGCTGCCAAGGATGTTCTTGAGCACCTCAAGCATGCGAAGAACGTTGCCGTCGTCCGCTCCGGCATGGGTCTTGGTGCCGCCGAGGCGACCATCCGCAAGCCCATCACGATCACTCTGAAGTCCGGCGAGCGTAAGACTATCACCGACCCGACCTCCATCTACATCGAGCAGGCGTGGGTCAACCGCGGTCCATATGGCGTGGATTACGATCACCGTGCCAGAGGCCAGATCAACCTCCTCCGCCCGCCGTACACATCTCTGTCGGTCGTCCTGAAGGAGGAGAAGACACGGATCCGGGAGTGGAAGGACCGTGAGGCTGTGTCGCAACGCAAGCGCAAGACTCAGCTCTGGACACAGCTGCCTGACCGGAAGATCACTGCTCAGAACCAGTACTACAGCTGGTAAGCTTTTTTCTCCCGACGTTTATCTCCGGCCTTGTCTCGGCAAATGATGGGTTTTCTTCGGCGTTTGTCTCTTGTATTATTCTAGACCGTTAGCACTCCACCTGGCGGGTAACTCAGCGCATGTTCATTATTCTTTCTATTTGCGGCATTTCTTTGGATCTCAACGCGGTTTCCCCATCTCCTCGTCTCTTTGGGTTGTTCTCTTGGCCCAGCCTGCTCAGATTATTCGTGATGGATGACGCGGAGCCAACATCTCAAGGAGCCTGTAGTGGACAGAGCTCAACACATGTACAATATTGAAATATACAACACATATCTACATGCTCTCTCATCAACCATATCCTATTACTTCAATAGATCTGTCTATCCCCTGGCCCCCCCACCCCCACAACCAAGCCCTACACGCGACCCCCAGGACAAACAGGCGCCCTCGTCGGCGGTTCAACCTTTACAGGGGGACTCGGACCCTCCACCCTGTCCGCCCTAACCAGCACAGGAATAACCGCGCCAGTCATCAATGGAAAGCGCCGATGCCCCACCACCGCCAACACACTCGTAATCGCCCCCGAATGCGCCGTCAACGAAACAACCGTGCTCGCATCATGCGCAAACACATCGAGCAAGAGCTCGCGGAGCCGGACATCGCGCGCAGAGTCCGACTCGCGCAGCTCGGGGTCATACAGCGGATCTTCCTCCGCGAAGTCTTCCTCGAACCGGTACAGCGGGTATTCCTGCGCGATAGCCGTCTTACTAGACCGGCTGTCGCAGGTGTGGAGGCCGATTGTTTCGCGAAGAAGCTGGTCAGGTCCCTCATTAGTCAATCAATCAATCAATCAATCAATCTCATCCTGGCGTGGAACGTAGTATATATCATATCATATCCAGCGCGGCTTTTGTGCCAGAGTAGCTCAAAAGATTAATCACAGCGGAGGGTGAAATGCTGAACACACACACACACACACACACACTCACCTCTTTGATGACCGGCCGGAAGGGCTCCGTATGCGGTAGACCTAGGTCCTTGAAGGTGATGCTGGCGGTCGCGAGACACCGGTTCAGGGGACTCACGTAGTAGGCCTGTGGGGAGGGGATTTTAGTCTTGAGTTGCGTTCGCCACGCCTGGTTGGCTGTTTCGGCTTGTGAGATTCCTAGAGGCGTCAGACGGGCGTCGACCCAGGTGCCGGTTTCGTCGCCGTTTTGGAGCGACCAGTAGCACTTTTAATGTTGATTGGCAGTGTTAGTAGTGTTGAAGATATGGCAATGTTATTGTGTTGCAATGAACCAGGCCTGGGTGGAGTCCTGCAGGAACGAGAGAGAGAGAGAGAGAGAGAGATAGTGCAAGGCGAGATAGTGCAAGGCGAGATACATACATCCCAAAGCTCAGTGCCATATCGCCTCTCGGCGACATTATGCACCCCCTCGCCATGTCGACCCAGGAAGAGCAGCTTGAACTGCGTCTCAGGACTGCTGTCCCGGTTTAGCTTGTTGAGGTGGTACTCGAACCGCTCCCATTGGGTCTTGCGGCCCTCTGGGTCGAACTCAGGGTCAGAGTCGTAGCTCCGAGGTATGAGTCCGAAATTGGATGTGACCTGTTTTCATTGTGAGTGCTTGTTTTTGGTTTATAGGGGGTGAGGTAGGTGCGGTGGCATGGAACTTACGTAGTCGAAGTTGTCGGGGTCGGTGCTTGGGTCATCTTGGAGGAAGTAACCGGTCACTGTCGTGAAGTGGAAGTGGAAGTCTAAAGGGGTGGCTTTGGGTGTCATTGTGAAGACAAGTGGATATGCCTAGATGGGTATCAGGGGTTAGAGTGACATTCTACAAGAAGGCGTCCCTGATGTGGACTCTCTCCTAACCCTAAAACTCCACGGGCCGTGGGGTAGTTTGGCTCAGGTGGGGAACGGCAAAGCATGGGCGCTATTTCGTTGTTTACAGGAACCTGCCCTGGACTATAGAGATGGAATCGGAAGAAGTAGGTAAAAAAAAAATTATTTATTTATTTCTCTAACTCTAGCCAACCGTTAAAGACCCATCGACTATCCATGAAAATATGTCCAAAGAACCCCGCTAAAAAACGTAGCAACAAACCAAAAACGACCACGAGGTATCTTTTCCCACAACCGAACAAGCAAAGGACAGAAGCTTCAGCATGAACAAATGCTCAGACAGGCTCGAGGTTAAATTAACCCCAGTCCCTTCCTAGCAAACCAATGTTGCTTGGAAGCAAAGACTGCGAGACTGCCAAATATGCCCCCGGCCGATGAAACAACCGATCCCATAGTTTGCCAAAAGCCGGCAAATGCGAGGCCAGTGTTGAAAATTGCTGTGGTAGCAGACTTGCCGAGCGCGGTACAGTATTGTCCGGCCGATGCTTGTTGGCTTGCGACAGTAGAAATAGTCTGCGCAATACGCAATGCTTGGCTTCCACCAGTCGACGAGCGATTGGTAGATACAGATTGAAGTGACGGGGAGTTCATCTTCGCCCTTGTAGACTCGATGCAAAGTGAACCTTCCTTCTCTGTCTTTGTAACAGGGCTGAGACGCCAAGTAATAGTCTGAGGCAAAGCGCTTGGCACGCGATTGACGGTAGATCTGGGACAGCTCTCCCGTTCCAGGACAGATGGTTGCTTCGAGGTCGTTACAAGCAGCTTCTGCTTTGGCGACATCAGGCGGCCAGGAACTGAAGGAGTCTGGTCGACACCACGCCAAGGAGTGGTCGACCTGTAAGACTGGGACACCTGTGGTCTGGGTTGTCCCGTGTTTGCGCCCTCCACAGGCTTTGACAGCGAAACCGGTGAGCGCCTTCCATGGTACACATCCAATGGTGAAGGCGCAGTGACCGAGAAATTGTCCTGTGGGGAGGAACGAACATCTCTCTCCCTGTGCTTCCAAAGCACGGTCTTTGGAGCTTCCACATTCGGGGGAAGGACACCGGGCGGTGTCTGTTTAGGTAGTGAAACATGGCGTGGCCGTGCGTGAGACAGATTAATCTGTCTAGTCGAGTCAAGCACCGCGGAAGTAGGAGAAAGAGCGATGCTGTTGACATTGAGATGAACGCCCTTGATGTCAAGGCAATTGCACTATATCCGTATCAATATACCTTGCTCACCTAGATAAATTGTCGGTTGACTTACCCTCTTATGCTGTTTTCGATGTTTTTCACAGGCACCATGTTTTCGAACTTTGATGTAATTCTCTTTTTGAGCCCGTGATCGAGGTTTCTGCTTCCTCGGTAGATTGGCCGGCGTGTTCATGTTAAGATCCAAGACCAGTTCAATCCCGCCAGGCGTTGCGTCGGCGGAGGGAGGCGTTGGCGACTTGCCGGTTGAATCGGATAATGAAGTAGTCGCAGGGCTGGCGCATGGAGCATCATGGGAAACACTCCACGGAGGCGATGGGAAGCTGGTATTTGAATCCGAAGACATATCCATCTCGGGAAGCGGGGCATCTTGCAAGCGCTGTAGATGTAAGGCTATGGCTGCTTCTCGACGCTTTTCTTTCTTGGATGAACAGCTCGGGTCAACCGCCGCTTGCGACTCTACCATATGCCGGATGGTCGAATAGCAATGGTCATCATAACCGTGTGCACCTGGCAGCCAGGCACTGTCAAAACCGGATCCAACGAAGACTTCACTTGGTGAAGTTGACGGAAGTTGAAGGATATCATTGGGATCTACCACAGGCTCGGCATTCGCAGCGCCTCCGTAGTATTCCTGGAATGATGGTTCGTGGTTGACAAAGTCGGTGAATGGAAATTGAGTACACAGGTCGAGTCCTGAATCCCAATTTGACCCGTCTAGGTCGTTGTAGGTCAGGTCCAAGTCCTTGGGGGAGATTGAGTTGACCGAGGTCGGGTTACTGTCGACATAACCCGAGGGGATATCAAAGAAGTTGTCAAAATCAAAGAATTCATCACCCTGGGATGAATGACCCATTGAGAAAAGCAATTGGTCGGCAGACATGATCAAGGAGCGACTCGTGTTCCAATGGGGAGAAATGATGAATGATGGATAATACAGCCAGGGTCGAACCCGATGAAGCCTTTCCTGATAGGGTATTGTAATGAGGGCTTTTTCAGGCGGCTAAGTTCAAAGGATTCACCCGGAGACGAGGAGGTCGCTGCGCTTTCAGAAAGCGAGAAAACAGACTGTCCAACGTCGTGCTGAGGAGTTATTTTTTTTTAATGACTAAGGAACACCAAGCGTTCACTTGAGGGGGAGGAGAATAGATGTAGAAAGAGATGCCTGAATGCTTGAGGATGGAAGAACCCCGTGAATCCCAACGCCACCTTTCCTCTTTGGGATCCCGACTCAGCGCTAGACTCGATTGGGTGCCCGACGACTCTCCCGCGTTTGCAATGCGACATCACATGTCCTGTGGCTGTGCGTTTCTTCTTCTTTTTCTTCTGGCAATACGAACAATGCCCCCTGAGGACACCAATGGCAGTGCATTCCTTCCCCCACAACCTGCATAGATCTATCCTTGGATAGGGAGCGATCGACCCCTCCAGGTCACAGTAGCCACACTGGTAAAGACCCTGCTGCTTCTGTTTAAACCTTAAAAACCTAGGGTTTGTATGGTTTGCATGGTTTGCATACACGTCTCTTTATCACTTGGCTTCGATTCCATGACACTAGTATCTACATGTTTTCCATATAGTGCACACGTTCTTCATCCCATCTTCACCATCCCTAATTCCAATACCCAACCGCAATCAGTGAAGCCGCCAAAATACTGAGTGGTAGCAGACCAAGATTCTCTACCAATCTCGCGGCACCAGACTGTTTATCTGAATCTGACGACCTGTCATCGGCTCCTTTAACTGACCCCGATGTTGCGGTTGCGCTTGGCGTCCGTGACGGAGTACCATATGTGTGGCTCTTCGCATCATACTTCAAACACGCGGTGGGTAAAGGATAGGAGGTTGATGCCAGGACAGCTTCTACTCCGACCCTTTCACTGAAATCGGCGATGTCGACCTCCATGTTGGCCAGGACGCCCATGTTGATGTCCACCGAAGGGGCTATATGCGTCAGGCTGTCGTAGACATCATCCAGGACAGACGTCAAGCTGCCCCCTTCGTTCGCTTTACCATTGACGGGCTCACACTTTTCACTGACATGACTCAGTTGAGTCGCATTCACAGATACTTTTGGCAAGTTGACGAATGCTCCAACGCCGCCGGACACCAAGCCCTTTGCCGTGCTGACTCCGAGCAGGATCTGCGGTGTAAAGGTAACACTAAAAATCAGGGACGCCAGTGCAGACGTAGATTCAAATTCCAGCGCGTGGACCTTTGTTTTATCACTACGCCCTGTTAGCTGGCCATTCAACATGCGTGCACTGTTGTGGACAACGTACAAACCCGAGATAGAGGAGTTTCCAGGCTCACTCATGTTGATTTTAATATTCGAGTTGTCGGGCACCTACATGAATTAGCATCCATGGAGCAAATCTCCCGACTAAGAAACAGTACCGAAAGATTGAAGCCATAAGAGAACCCTATCTTCTCGACCATATTAACGCTAAGTGAGAGATCTGGTTGGATCAGCGGCCCGAAAGCTACAACTCCTGGTATCTAAGGTTGTCAATATCGTCATACTAAAGCATGATATCACCTTGTGCCCGGATGCCTACCTCAAATGGGGTGAGAGGAATCGTAGGGAGAGATATGTTGAGGGAAGCCAAAGATTGACTCAATGAAAGGTCAAGACCAAGTTCAATCTGCGCGTAGAGGCCATTTGATATGATTTCAAGTGCACCGTCATCAAAAAAGGCGATGGTGTCCTTAATCGTGTTCCCAGAGATGTTGAACGAGCCTCGGGTTATCTCGATATCACCCTGGAGCGTACAGTTTTTGCAGGTCACTGTCACGCCTTGCGGTCTAGGGTCGTTAGCATCGTGAATCTAACTCAAGGTTGTGTCTTTGAGGCCTACATGAACATGTCAGCGGCAGGAGTATCTGGCGGAAATATCTTCTGGTCGATATAGTGCTTGTCGAGCGATTTTGTCGCAGTCGAAGGCAGTCCCGTTGTTGCAGTGGGAGCCGCTGGAAAAGAGATGGAAGGTGCAGAACCTTCCCCTACCACCTTTGTGGTTGTCGGCGCACCCGTTGAATCCTGCTGTCGTTTCTGATGCAAGGTATATGTACGTTTCTGGATCCTTGATCGATGCCTGTGGGAGAAAGACACGCTCGTGGAATGACTTGCATCGTGCCAATCGCTTTTGACTTTCTCCAGGGTGAATACTTGACGAGCAAGATCGACAGTTGTCTTCGTCACACTATATACAGTATGAGATGGACTCGGTCTCGGCTCCGCACTCAGACACTTACCGATGGATGGACCGTTCCCCTTCCGAGTCACAACCTTCATGGGAGGTGACAACTACAAAATCCGATACCGCCTCAAGTTCCTGTTTTAGGGCTTCCGTCCGAGTAGACGAGCCGATGGACAGCTGGATCTTTGACTCCGAGCATGACATATCATTTATGTCGGCATCTAAAGCCTCGAGGGCAAGGATCGGGTGTTGAGATGCCACGTTGAGAGTAGTAGCGAAGACATATTCCGTGCCATCTTCCGGAGTTTCGTGGATAAAGTCGAAACTTGCTTCTCTCTTCAGAGCGAATGTTTCGATCTCTCGTACTCTGAGACTGGGGGGCAGACTGGCTGCAGTAAGCCGTCGGGCCTGTGGGAATTCCAAGGCTTGGGAATGCTGACCCAGTGCTAAGTTGGCCCCCTGAACAATGCTAAAGGCAGCCAAGAGAGCCAACAGGGCAGGGGTTCCAAGAGAGTTCATCTTATCTGTTCGGAAGAATAATCCGTCTCCGGCAGCGATTTCTGGGCTGTATACCCGCTTTTACGGAGAAGAAAACACAACCGAAACAAAAAGAAAAGAAAACACTCCATCTTGTAGCGTACCATGTATCCTACATATACCCCTTTAATGTAGGAGGTGCCTCGATGCACACTATGTGTGAGCGGACTGTCTCCCCTGCTAGTGCCTGAGCTAGAGAAAGGTGTGACAACGAGCGAGTTATAATTATATGTCACTAACTGCACAGCCTTGTGTTCGTTGAACCTAAGCAGAGGTGAGCTGCCGCTATCATGCTCGGTTGGGTATAGCCCAACCTGCTAGCCATGCAGTGTCACTGTGCCGCAAGGCTGAAGCCGACGTTAGTACGGCAGCTAACAAACGGCCCCTCAAGCTAACATCCTAATTAACACACTTTTCGCTTATATCATTGGTTGTCCAGACCACTTACTCATGATTGGCAGACTGTCAGTAGAATGATGGGGTTGTACATACCCTCCGCACTGCATAGTGACTTGCATGAGGTCCCAATAGCAAGGGGCTACAGAGTATTGAATGCTTGAGAATGATCCTTGACTGACCAAATAGACGTAAGACTGTACACAGCAGGCTGTCGTGAAAATGACTCTTCATACAGGGAACCTCCCCCGAGTTAAATCTTTTCCCAGGTACTCATGGGTGGGTGTTTAATGATGATGAATTGATTATGTGTCTTGGCTTCCTGTTCCGCCGCCGGTGGTCAACGCATGAATTGAATTCGTTTTCTACTTTCCAGGGCGCACCAAGATAATTACATAACTTGTATGGCGAAATTAAGTTATTCTCTCGACTCAGTGTGATACCCCGGGGAACTCTGACTGGCATGGGGATTGAGCGACTCTGGTATGGTCACCGAGATATATACCTTAACCCCGGTCGTGCTCAACCCTAACCGCCTTTTTCGTCACGACATTACAAGTCGCTCCGATCGTCGAAGACGTCACTAGCTAATAGTAGTATCATAGGGATAATAGTGAAGTAAATCTCATAGAATACGGAAGATCAAGAAAGAAAGGTATACGTGGTGCGCAGCACTGCCGTTGGTGACAATGATGATGAAACAGGGAGAATAGGAAGGTGGCCACTCCACCAGGACCCCGAGTCTCAACTGGCCAGACCATTTGAAACAAGACCCTGTCTAATAAATTTAGTGTAGATCTACCGCAGCATTCGAAGAAGCTACGTGGGCAGGTCAGGTACGCTATTAGTCAAATCCAACGAATCTCGGCAATCCGCGGTCACGATGATGGAGCCGAACCCCGCATAAGGGAGCCTGCATGATTGACTTAATGTGAGGGGAAGAGCTGAACGTCCGCCACCACCTTTTCTTCATCCTTTCTTTCTCTCTGCACCTTATAAGAGCTCCCTGGGAACCTGTCGATCGGTGCGATCCTTTCTGACCAGCAATCACATTTCCGCGACGGTACAGACATACACAATTGGCCCTAATCGAAACTATTTGGTGATCATTTACTGCAACCGGTAGGCAAGGGGTAGCTGGGGTACCCGCTACCTATACACAACCAACGACGCCAACGACTGCCCTCCAGTACCACAAGTGATGTGGCTGCGATGATTGTTCTCAAAAAGTGTGTCCCATTCGCCTGTCGCCCGAGTGCTGTGTCTCGAGGGACGCCTCGGAGCGCCAGGCACTTGTCGAAGACCTTGCAAGCACTGCCCCCGTGGCGGCGAGGTTTGTTGACACAGAGCTATGCTCGTGGACCGCTAGAGGTACCCTTGTACTACGTGTTGAATGTCTAGATCGCATGAGGCTAATGTTACTTGCGCTTACCATAAGCCTCCATTGCTAGAAACCACCATTGGGGAGCATTTCGCTCAAATTGTGAGCTCATATGGTGACCGAACAGCGTCAGTTTCCCGATTCGTCCCCCGACCATATTGCTGTGAAATAGAAGCTAACTCACGATCAGTGTCATTTGCAAGCATCAAAATGACCGCGTAACTTATGCCGGTCTCGATGCGAAAAGCAATGCCCTGGCACGGGGCCTGGAGTCTGTAGGTGTGCGCACAGGCGACCGTGTGGGAGTGATGCTGGGAAATTCCATGGAGTTCTCCATTGTATGCTATAAGTCCCATCTCCGGCGCCCATGACGCTCCGTATCATTACCCAAGATAGCTTACGACCGTTGTGCCGCAGGCAACTTATGCGTTGTTTAAGCTCGGAGCCATCCTCGTGAGTCTCCGTTGCAAATGCTTTGCGTGACGAAATTCTCACCACGCTTTCCAGGTCCCAATCAACCCATCGTTCAACGCAACTCAGGTGGTCTCGGCATTAAACCACCTCGAGGCCACCCATATGATCATTAGCACCGAATCTAATCTGCCGCGAAAAGAGCCCCGAAGCAACATCCCCATCTTACAACACCTGGTCCAAGACCTCCACAAACCAAAACTGGAGTCCGCACTCGTCCCATCCCTGAAGCATATCATCATGGTCGATAACTCCTCCGGCCGGGTGGACATCTCCGAGTACAAATCCCTGACGAAATATTCATCGGTGATATCCAGCGCAAAGGCAGATGAAGCCGCATTGCCGCACCGAGATCTATCGCCCCATGACGTGGTGAACATCCAATTCACATCCGGCACCACTGCCATGCCCAAAGCCGCCTGTCTGACCCACCGTTCGGTTCTCAACAACGGCTCCCAGATCGGCGACCGCATGCGCCTTACCCCGGAGGACATCGTCTGCTGTCCTCCACCGCTGTTTCATTGCTTCGGCTCCGTGCTAGGCTACATGGCCACGGCCACGCACGGCGCGGCCGTCGTATTCCCCACCGAGTCATTCAATGCCAGGGCAGCGCTGACGGCCGTCCAAGAGGAGAGATGCACCGCGCTGTATGGCGTCCCAACAATGTTCATCGAAGAACTGACCCTGATCGACGACGGCGAGATACCAAACGAAGGATTCGGCCATCTGCGAACAGGCATCGCAGCCGGAAGCAGCGTGCCCGCTGCCCTCATGCAGAGACTCCACAAGGTCCTAAACCTAACGGAGTTGACCATCTGCTACGGCATGACAGAAACCAGCCCCGTCTCAGTCATGACGACCACCGACGACCCGATCGACAAGCGCATCAACACCGTCGGCAGACTCATGCCGCATGTCGAAGCGAAAATCGTGAACCCCGCCGATCGGAGCCAGATCGTCCCCGTCGGTGTGCCTGGTGAACTGGCGGTGAGCGGATACCTCTTGATGAAAGGGTACTGGGGCGACCCGCAGCGCACCGCGGAGTCGATGATCGCGGATGAACAGGGGAAGGTCTGGATGCATGTATGTGTTATACTACTCACACCCACAGAACCCATCACATAGATTTCCCGCTAGCTAACACTGAGCATAGTCCGGCGACGAAGCTGTCATATCCCCCGACGGGTATGTGTCGATTACGGGCCGAATCAAGGACCTCATTATCCGGGGCGGAGAGAACATCCACCCGCTCGAGATCGAGAACTGTCTATTGACGTATCCTGGCGTGCTGGATGTGTCGGTTGTCGGTGTGCCCGATGAGAAATACGGAGAGGTCGTAGCTGCTTTCATCATTCCCAAGGAACATCAGGACGAGGCTGCGCCTTTGACTGAAGAGAATATCCGGGAGTGGGTTAGGGAGCGGTTGAGCAATCATCTAGGTAAGACTCAGAGTACTTCCATTTACCATCACATAGAACTGACGTCCTCTCTTTACAGTCCCGAAGTATGTTTTCACTCTGAAGCACTCGACCATCTTCCCCAAGACCGCCAGCGGAAAGATCCAGAAGTTCAAACTGAAGGAGGATGCTATCAAGATCCTCCGGGAAAGGAACTCGTTAAGCTAACCCCGGCATTTGATGTGGTGAGTAGGAATGGGACCGACAGGCACTTGAACTTGAACTCTAGAATTAGCCAGCTCAAGCGATAATCTATCAATCTAAATTAAAAAAAAATCTATATGTCTTCTACACAAGACCTATGTCCAAGACCAGCCCTGAAGAAGCCAACGCCATCAACTCCCGCTTTTACCAATCCAACTCCATACCCAGATCCTATAGTATATGCAAAATCATGAAACATAAACCTCCGCCTTCCCCATCCTCCTCGCCCTAGAATTTAACCAGAGATAAATAACCTCCTGCACAACCGCCAACACCAACGCCCCAGCCACCAACGCAATCATAACGACCAGTCCAGTAAGATACCTACAAACCAGCCGTAAGCACCAGTCCCACATCTACAAAGAAACAAAGAAACAAAAAGAAAAGAACTTACAAGGGCGAATCCCTCCCCTGAAAGATCTGCGACCCACCCATCAAGCCTGCATTCGACGCCATAACCCCTAGACAAATACATCTCCATTAGCTCCTATCCCACCACCAACAACCACCCAACAAAACCACCAGAACACTTACACATCCTAACAACACAACCAGTTAGCCCTAACTCCCCCCAACCTACACCACAATGAGAAAGAAAAGAAACTCACGCAATAGCAATACTCCTCTCCCCCGCACAGCCACAATTCAGCTGCAACCACGTATTATGCACCGGATGATAACACACCGCGAAGGCATTAATCACCGTCCAGATGCCGAATCGAGTCCATTTCCCCTCTGCACGGGGCAGAAGACACCGACACACGATCAGCACGATCAGGTAGCATGTCACGGCGGCGATGACGGTGAGGCCGCGTCTGGCGGTGCGGTCGCTGATGTAGGCGAAGAGGAAGACGAGGGGGAGGGCTAGGGTGGCGCCGATTGCGGTAAGGGCGTTGGATTGCAGGCGCGTGAAGCCTAGGGTCCTTTTTACGTTTGCGCTTTGTTAGGGTGCTGTGTGGTGTTTCTTTTGTGTTGGATTTCTTTTTTGGGAGTTCTGTTGTGTTGGGTGTTGTGGGTAGAAGAATGGTGGGAAGGACGTACATCATGATTGTCGGGGTGTAGGTTGTCAATGGACTCCAGGTTGAGAAGACGCAGGGAGCGAGCAGGAAATGGGGCCAGCGGCGGTAGTTGAGGAGGGCTTTTTTGATGTGAGATGCTGGGGTGAGGCCCAGTTTGGAGGAGTCTGCAATTTCTCTTTCACTTTCACTTTCACATTCTCCTTCTCCTTCTTCTCTTCGGGAGCTTCGAGTGAGTAGGACCTCTCTGTCTTCGGGAGAGAAGGCGATCACACCACGATTTAGGAGATACGGTCTTGGGTTTGACGGGCTTTGGGGGAGGAGTAGCAGGATGAGGATTGCCGTGGTTATGGTGAAGATGCCCTCGACTGTATGTGGATATTAGCTTAGGGCTAGCCGTTGGTATTGAAAGGACGGACATACTCAGAAAGATCCACTGCCACCCTTTCAAGCCATATTTCCCGTCGAGTTTCAGTATCGCCGCCCCGATAAGAGGCGAGATGGCGTTTCCGCCGAACATCCCGAAGAAGAAGATGCCGACTCGTTTCGCTAGCTCGGCTTTGGCGTACCATTTTGAGAGTGTGTATAGGGAGGCCGGGATGTATCCTGCTTCGGCGAGCCCGAGCAGACTCCGCACGACTAGGAAGCCGGTTCGATTGTGCAGGAATACTTGGAAGGTGGCCATGGTGCCGAATGCGAGGACCTGCGCGGGGATCCATTTGTCGGGGCCGAGCTGTGTGTTTAATCAGGGTGTTGATTAGTTTTTGTGGTCATGATAGTGTATAAATGCGGGAGGACAGCGCATATCATGATGTTGGTTGTCAACAGCAATGGACGACCTACCTTCTGAAGTACGAGATTAGACGGGATCTCCAGCACAATAATACCCAGAAACATCAGCTGGTTTCCTAGATTGACGGTGCTCTGGTCGATGTGTATATCCTTGCCGAAGCCGCCGGTCAAGGCACTGGCGATGTTCATGCGGTCCAGTTGGAATACCGTCATCCCCAGCAACAAGAGGGGGAGGACTGAAAGGTCAATCCTACAAGGAGTTAACAATCGCCGTATCTCCAAGGAAGAAGTCGGTTGGTACTAACTTTCTTCGAGTCTTTTGCTCTGACACGGCACTCCATAATGTCTCCGTGTCACTATTCGATTCCCGCTCCGAATAGTTCAGGTCGGGTTTAGTGTGGGATACAAGCATGGTGATCTACAGTAGTAGGTGCATGAGATGAAGAAACCCGCGACTGACTCTTATCTTTGAGTGACCTTTTAATGTTAGGGCCCACTGTCAATCGCGGGATGCTCGAGTGAGGACCTTCCGGGCATGACCCAAGATATTACTATGTACCTTGAGGGCCGGGCTTCGACAAGGCATCGGGATTTGAAGAGAATCTCACAACCTTTAGGTTGGATGGCGTCATGAAGAATCTTATCGATCATGGAGGTACGAATGTCATGGTTATTTGCAGATCTCCCAATCAATTGGGCCCTTGGAGCAAAGTGGGTCGTCATCTTCCAATCTATAGTTTACATTTTGGTAAATAATAAGTCTTCGTATCTACATCATACATTATGTCCTCATTAGTGACATACAAAGGCCCGCTGTAGATAAAATCCATCAATATCATATAGCCACGAGGGTATCTGGGCCATAAAGTGGCATCATGAGACATCATCGTCATTTATAGTACCACATGAGCCTGCAGTGGTACCCCGAAAAAAAAAAAACATCATTCGCATAGGGAAACATTGACCATCATTAAGCACCGCGGAACTAGAAACAAAGAAAATTCGTCAGTTAAGGATCAGAAGCATTGATCAAGGATGCACATACCATTCGTACAACCAAATACCACATTGCTCCGATAAACTTGAAGATAGACAATCCGGCAACACTCCAGAGGACGACTGCCATGTAGATCTGGGATCGTTGGTTCGAGCCTTCATTGGTCTTTTCGTTCTCGTCGAAGCGGTCCAAGCCAGCTGCGCTGAGCACGACGGCCCCCAGAGCAAAGTTGCAAAATACCCATGCCAGCACGACCGCACTTCGGAATCCCTTGTAGTAATCGGCCTGCCGTTCTTCTTCCGAGACAACCTGTACTTCCTTGGGCGGCTTCTCAGCAAACTTGGCCAACTCTGAGTCGTACTGGGCATTCAGATCGCCATCATCTTGCGGAATGTCGACGTCCACCTTGCCGCCCGGCTTCAGGTTCGCGGAGGGCAGCTTTTCCGCCTTGTCGTCACCCTTTGTACCCCATGTGATATCGTGAGTATTGCAAAACGCGTAAATGTTCAACACGTTGATATACGTCGGAGTGAGCAAGATATATTGGATGAACTGCCCCGGGTTAGAACGATGAAAATGAGAGTTAGATTAAGAGGACTTACGCAGGTGAACATATGCCAGGGATCAAAAAAGATGATCGATGCCACAAACCACATGACATACGTGGAGCCCAAGGACACAATGATCGTGAAGAATGTGGAGTTGGTGAACAGATCCGTGAAGGTAAAATCATTCTGCTGCACCTCCGTTTGGATCGATCTCACCGTGACGAAAATGCAAGCAAACGCCAGGTAAATCATGATACCAATCCAGAAATAGACCATGGTCATGTAGAACTTGTTGGACCCACCCGGCCGATTACCCAAGGCTAAGACGAAGCACGTTACCAGTGTTGCAAGATACAGCCATTCGAAAACCACCCCAAGCACTCTACCAGTGGTGCCAAGGAGGTCCTTCTGACCGAGATATGTCGTGAGAATGTGGAAAACCAAAAAGAAGTTGCCCTGCAGGAAGAGTCAGTGTGGCCGTTGCCGGCGGTAGATAGGGTCGTGCTTACGATGCCAAACCAAGCGAACAGCATGTTGATGGTTTGATAGATAAACTCGATGAGTAACATGAATTTCCGAATAGCCGAATGGTCGCTTCTCCAGATCTGGTAGAAATGGGCGATCGCATACACCGCGGCGAAGAAACTGCCGTTCAGCCACCGACGGCGCTGAAGAATGAACTCGGCCATCCGATCCGGAACATCAGTCTCGCCAGACGAAGACTTCACATAATGCAGGAGCCAGCGACAATTACGCTTAGTGACAATTTCGAAACACAGAATACGATCCTCAGCCAGGTACATATTGGCGGCGAAAATACCGGCATTGGCACCATGCATCTTTTCACCCAGGAAATACCGCTCCAATGGACCTTGGCCGTTCTTATCATTCTGCAATGCGACATATCGGTACGCCGAAAATGCACCAGGAAGCACACTAATGAACCCGAACGCGGATTCCATGGGTTTATCGAGGATATTGCTCAGTTTGTACTCGAAATTCTGACCGGCAACCAGGGGATTGAGCAGTTTCTTTCCATGCGACAGCATGGCTTTGATTTCACCACAAGCCCCTCCACACATCGGCTCGACATCGAATGCCTTCCAGAGACGATAGATGGAGTCCTTTCCAGGTTTCGTTCCCGCATCAAGAAGGACGCAAATATTGGGGTCTAAAACTCGGCCAAATGCCTGGAAGAACCAGCGGTGGGAGTTGATCTTCTTCTGGTTCTTTTCCTTCAGACAGAAAATCATCTGCACGGGAACTGCTGAGCGTCCTTTGATTTGAACTTGGGTTCCCTTCAGCTCGAGAGCTATTTGAGTGGTGTATTCGTAGATGTGTGCTGTCACATCTTTGCCATTGACTTGTTGCTTGGCAATTCCGTCTTGGTAGACTCCGAGGGCGGCTAACACTGCACGGGTTCGTGGGTTGATTTTGGCACGACCATCGCTAATCACACAAACCACGATCTTCTTCCATGCGTCCTTGCCCCATGTCTTGCTATGCGTCCTCGAGCACATATGCTCAATGTTCTTGAATACACCAATCAATGTCCGTGCGAAAAGGAAGTCATCTTCGTTGTACATCGTTACCACAATGAACAATTCGGTATGCCGGGGCTTAGCGAACAGTTTCTGGCGCAAGGTGAAGCGCTCCTCAAAGAAGTCGTTGGGGTCGCATGTTGCAGCGGAATAACGCATATGTGTGAACTCGTCACGGCCCGGAGGCTCAGCGTGGGGAACCTGGCTCAGAAGCTTGGGCGCGATCGGACAATCCAACACGAGATTACCATTGAACAGTTGCACTTCTTTGACCGTCTTCCATCGTCGGAGGGGTGCCGGGCTGGGGGTGTGGCCGTCAGCTGGCTCTTCCACCTGGTATTCATCACTGTAGGGATCAGGTCCGAATGGATTATCCTGTTGTAGCATGGGAATGCGATCATCACTATAGGAGTGCTGGTGCTGGTGTTCGGGGTATTGTCCTAAGTCATAATCATCATGTGGCGTGGCTGTAGGTTGGTAAGGTTGCGTATAGTAGGCGTCGTGATGGGCCTCGGGATCCACCGAATACTCATATCCGGGGTAGGCCTGCTGCGGGTGGCGCTGTTCGTAGGCCTCGTTATGACCGTAAGAGTTTGGCAGTCTCTCCACTGAATACTGTTTACCCAAGTTGGTCAGAAAGGACACCATGACACGTCTCCATCCGGGATGCTCACCGTTGGTTGCTCAGCCAGCAAATCACTCGAGGGCATATGAAGACGCTCCTGTGGCCCGTACGAAACATCTGAGAGCTGGTAGGCATTCAATGGCCGACCCGGTGACGGGGACCGATTGTTCATTTGATGGGGGTTCATCATGGGAGAGTGACTATGGTCGTCCTCCCCGTATGACTCTCCTGGACTCGGGCGTCAGTAGGATGCAACAAGGCTGGAGGAGGTCCAGCGAAAGCGAGCGCAAGCGGAAACTAAAAGAAAGCGACACAACAACAAAGAAGGACGACAAAAGAGGCTGTAAGCTTGTGCGCCGAGGCTATCGACAAATTCCCCCCAACGGTCTAAAGTTTCAGAATGCAAATGAATGCGGGAGAACGGGTATCGGTGCGACAGCCCCCAGCAACGCAATCCAAGCAGCTTTAACTAGGGAAACCATGCGCAATGGGAAATATACTGACCCAAGCGATTGTACGACATGTTGGACGATCGTGTTTCGAGTTAACAATCGTTCCAATCGGCGCGAGTTCCTCGAACAGGGGAGTTGCGGAGAGAGATTGCGCCAGGAGCGCGGGTGGAATGCTCTCAATTCACTTTCAATGGTTCCTAGGTCGGTTCCTCGGCGAAAGTTTCAGCGACGAGTGATAGGCGGTTGACAAGATGAAAGGTGGGTACCGCTGATTCGTTGTCAACAGTGTACGATTGATCTCGATGAAACGTGAAGCACAACGGAATGGTGAGTTTAAAGAAGAAAATGGACAAGAGGCACCTTTTCTTTTGATGAGTGCCTGGGAAAGCTGCCCGCGCCACCTTTTTCCCCAAGCAAAGCAAAAGCGCGAGGCACAGCTGGTCTTGGCGGGGGGTTTACGTTTGTTGACCAAGAAACGGAGGGATCAGCAGAGGTTTGTGGACCAAGATAACAAACTAATTAATGGGGAGGATCTGACTAGAGGGAAGAAGTTGAATGAGGTACGAATGAGATTTCCTTTTTCAGCCGACGATCGTGAAGTCAGGTGGGAACATAACAAAAAAACACCGACAGTGGGGCCCCATTGGACGGGAGGATTCATATTACGGTACCGACCGTACGGAGTATCTTTGCTTCTCTCTGTTGTCTCTCTACAGACTACTACTAGTACTAATACTCCAGAGGTAGCATCTGGATATCTCCCTTGATCGTGAGAGAATCTCTCCGTCTCAGCACCACGGAGAATTACTGACAGAATCAGAAAGATTAATTCCCTAGAAACGAAACCCTGTCAGCCGTGGAGACTCTCTCTATTAGTTTGGTAGAGTTGCACTGGCCCATTGGGTCGTGTCTCCACTCGCCATCACTGGGCCAACAACATCTCGTCCACAGCCACACTGCCGTGGTAGTTCCTTGGGTGCGTCATGGGAAAATGGGCTTTTTGTTTGTCAGTTCTTTTTATAGGAACGTTTTCTTGGTAGCCTGATCGAAAGACGTTCTTCAGCCCTGTCAGAGGATGTCACGACTCTCAAGGAATATTCCGTTGCCTTGCACATACTCTATCTAACTATAGCCCTGCGCTAGTGTATGTACTAATCCGACCAACGTCATACTGCCAGCAATGGGCCGGCGGGAAGTATATGCCGGTAGTCTATAACCTCAAGCAACTCCAAGCTTTGAATTAGATTGTCTCTCGATCAAGTAACATATCTTAGGTGCCTGGAGTGTACTTAGTACTATTTTTAAGGCCCAACAACTCATCAGATTATGTGAGATATCACATGACATAAGCTCGCCATTTGTGGCTTGTTCCTGGTGTCCCATCCCCACCGCCTAGACCAAGAGCGAATAGCATTGAGCCATAGCATACCATGTAGTTATACTAGTATCTGAGTAAGAACATCTCTCACATTTACTATCTCCGTTAGAGAAAGTTTTGGGTTAGGAATATCAACGATTAACTGCTAATAGTACTGATACATGTCCTTAGCTAGCATAGTGTTCTTGTTCGATCAGCGTACTAGCGCACTAGTAGAATTTCGTGTTTGGCGAGAGTCCCTGCCTTTGATCCTCTCGCTAGACAACACAGAAGTTAGCCTTCTCTCATAGCAAATTAAAGGTGAACAAACCAAGAATTCCCCAAATTCTGCAACAAGAATATCCTCATATTGACTATACCGCTCTTCGTCGGGCCCCACGCTTGAGAAAGTGGTTGCAACATCGAAATCGACCCACACAACTCTTTCTGGAGTTCCAGGAACAAGCAGAAGATTCTTGGGATATATATCCTGGTGGTGAACGTGAGCGTTATGTACTTGCTTCATACCATCTACCGCATGCTGGTAGCGGGCATCTGAGTAATTCTTGCAATTCAAACTCTCAGCATTTGGAAGATATTCGAGTAGTATTGCGTTAGGAGGGAAGTAGTCATTAACAAAATGTTGGAGAGCTGGCTGGAAGGCAGAAGGGTCGACTTGATTAATATACCCATAGAAGAATGGAACGAAGCCCTGCTTGCACACGTTGTATTTCCTCAGGTTCTCATAAGCGTTCAACTCGCAGCGGCATCTATTTAAATCTCGACCATTCTCGGCAAAACCTGGATCACCATTGTTGTGAAACTGGAGAGTGAGCAAAACCGAACGATCTAGATGATCATTTATTTACTTACGAGCTTCATGGCACACTTATCACCATTGAATTCTGTCTCGAAAATTGAAGAAGCGTCGGATCGATGGATCTCCTTGATAATTCGAATCTTAGAAGAGAGAAGTCCCATGGAGCTCGCCGTCTCTATTTGCTCAAGATGTTCGAGAGTATTTCTGAGTCTTCCGACAGGCTAGACTGCGTCTGGCTCAAGATATCCAGACTCTGCTCACACAAAGCCAAGCCTTTTTGAGCGCTATCCCTTCCCTCTTCCATGTTTTGGAGCTCGACTGTGTCAGCTTCTATGGCAGTCTGGCTATGAACCACCAAGGACTGATGCCTTGTTCGAATGCCCTGTAAACAGTCTTCCAGCTCATCCGTTATCTTGAACTCTGGATATGCACCACTCTGCCACTAAGCGGTTGATCAAGAGCGTCAAGGTCGATACTAGAGTTGTCGGTCGAGCTTTTGAGGGTCAGCAGCAGTTCTCTAGATCGTGCAATTTACTTCGAAATTTGCAACCGATTTAGTGTTCGACTTTGAGCTGTCAACTGTTTGATAGAGCTTCGTGGATGCTTCAAGAGCCAGGGTCACAATTGCCGTGAGGGTGGAAACGACACCGATCGGTTCAGCCAGTCATACTAGTACTAAGCTTGTTGAGATATGTCAGTCCTTCTACCCCAGGTATTATAAGGTGGGTTTACCTGGAACGTAAGTCAACCCAGGCGTGCTGTCAAATATCTCTTCCATTTCTATTGAAGGATTTGGTCACTTCCGTGTCCAACCATGGATCCCGCTGTTGCCTCGTGTTTGGCAGTCACTTCGGGCTGCCTTTGAACAACTTGCACCCGAACTTGCGTTGCGACGACTTTCACCAATCACCTTTGATGAAGGAAATGCAACAAACATGATTGATTTGTATCGACCAGACACTGCATGTATAGTCCCTAGAGGGAACCTCGCCCCAAGTCCCAATCGGGCGCCGGGGGACCTGAAGGTATCTTGGATATGGGAGTCTGATATGCACCAGCAAAACGCACGGTACAGCTATATTCTCACGAATCTCGAGTTTGTAGCCGTCAAACGTTTCTCTACGGCTTGAAAATGATGTGATATTCAATTCAGGATTACAAGCGAGCAGGCTTTCAAATCACTTAAGAAAAAGCCCAATTAGCGCTTTCCGCTGCAAGAATGCCCATGTACTATAATGCTAACAGTACTGACATTCACCCTTCACCTCCATTACCAGGGTATTGCTATCGAGATTGCGAGTATGGGCGTAAAAATGAGCTATTGAAGCAAATGTGATCTCAAATAGTTCAGAAGCGCTGTTTTATGAACAGGCGCAGGTTGGAGCGTATTCCTCCCACCCTCAGCCATCATGGAGACGGTGAGATCATGACTTAGTATCATGTCATAAATAAGTTGACGCGGCGAGAGTAGTTGCCATGAGATTTGCCTTACGAGGTTGATCCATAAATCTGCCGGGAGGACCTTTTCATGTTGCAGTAGCAACAGTGCACCCGTTGTTATTAGGATCCAAGAAAGAACGGTTGGAGTATCCATTAACTAAGATCCAGTATTATCTCCGCAGCTCATTATCGCAACCGGAAGATGAAGGCACAAGGAGCCAACAACTGACGAAGATTCGTCTTGTTATGATATGATTATTGAGACATATTCTCAAGACTACTAAATATATCCAGCCCCGCTGTTCAAACATTCCCACCCAAATCTCTTTGTAACAAGGGGAGCCAAGACATATGAAATACTGATTGAAAGGGCACGGTTTGCTGGGTTCCTGTGTTATCAGGGCACGTTTTCTAACTAAACCGGTCCCGCCATCCAAGCAAATCGACCCCCACGCTGTTTACTGTGGAACGTGGCAGTGACATCGGCCGTGGATGACACGGTTTGACATAGCATCGTCGCTAGACTCTCCACACATGGCAAAAACAAAGAGATACGCGCTATTACCTCCCTTTTAAGGAGTAACCATCGGGAAAGATAAATTGGGAAATTACTTCCAAGGCTCAGTTCTAAGATTTATCCCCACTCGATTGGCGAAATGGAAGTCCTTGTTGAGAACCGCGCTGGGTCCTTTCCTCGGCGCTCATACAACGAAAAACCTTGGTATAGGTTTATGCGTACAGGCCTGGATGGCTGATATAATGCTACACACGAAAGCCAGTTGCTGCGTACAAGGGCAATTATCGCCGCTGTTTACTCGTGGTAGAAGGCCCCGAAGGACTCTCGGAGTTAGTACATCACTGCCTGAACAGTAGCGCTTGCGCAACATAGCATGAGTAGTTTACTTTTCATAAGTACTCTCGGCTTCTGTTGAGCTGGTCTTTCCTGGGTATCACCACATCGCTATTGGATCTTTTGACCAGACACCCCCCTTGGCAGCCTCAGCGGGCGCCGGTGTCTGTTTCACGTCCCTGTTTTTGAACGGTTCAATGCCAACATGGCTCCGTGTATGGTGCCTGTCGATCACGAAGTAGACCGTCTTTGTCCTCATTTGAGTTTGAGTGCCCGATGAGGACAGCTCCATGTCTTTATTAGGGCATCGCGAGTCACTAGGTTGACTAGTCAGGAACGACCACCGATTAAGGTTCGGTGCCCGGCAGTCTGGCCTCGGGATCCATGTTAGGGCACGGATTGACCATGTGTGACCATCTAAGATTATTTCCACTCCATCCTACGCCAGACCGAATTAAACCTACCAGAGCCCTGAGTTCCTTTCTTCCCCGCACGCTCGGGATGTTTATATGTTGAGGTTGATCAATGCGTCCGTGTCTTCGGTTCTACTTCTAAACGCACGAATCAGCTGATCTATACCCTGAGCGGCATCTGGTCTTTGTCTTCTATGTCTGTTCGTTCACACACCGATGATGATGCGACGGCCAGGAACCTTAATATGTGGATCTCTCTCTTGATTCTGTATTTCTAAACTTAACGACCAATGCTAGGTAGCGGACTGTTATCTCCGAGGTAGTGGATTATGACTTGGTCTAAGTGGTGGACTTCAATACCGAGCAAGACGCAGAATGGCCCGGGCGTGATATACGGAAACGTTGATGAATTAGACTGATCACGCAGCCAAACAAAAGGAAAATATTACCAAAATAAAACAACTAGTAGCTCAAAGAAACATCAGTCATAATCTTAAGATACACAAAGAGACAAAAGCTGAACGGCCTGTGTACATGGAACAGATATGTTAAATCCAATAAAAACACTCTCCCTAGGGGTATAAACGGCAACAAGACAATCATAATATTCGCCCAGCATGCTCCACATGAACCCTGCCCCCTCTTATCCTAATGCTGGGTACGGGCATCAAGGATAGCCTGGAGACGCTGCAGCCCATCATCGGATATGCCACTGAATCCTAAAGATGCGGAGCCTGCCAGATCTAACGTTAGTACCAGAGGCTAGGTGACGTAGGATCAAGTTATCCTTACCAAGGGGAATGGGACTGGGCGAGCCAGGACCCTCGAGGAACAGGGTTGCAAGCGTCATGCACGCAGGTGGGACGTTGTCAATTCGAAAGCCCCCCGGTCCAGTAGGGATGAACTCGACGATAACACCTTCCAGTTGGTCGTTGCACAGGTCGCCTGCTGGTTGGGGAAAGCTTGCAAGTATATCGTTTCCGTGCTTCTCTAGCTTAGAGCCATCCTGTGTGCCGTTGCTGGTATCTCGTTAGTTCTGTTCGTGGACTTACTCTCGTTACTGATATGCTTACTGGTTTCCAGTTCCCGTCAGTTGAGCAAGACTGACTTGTAATGTTCCAAGGAACAGCAGTGTCAGGGCTGAGACAGATGACTTCATTCTGACTTGAAGTCTCAGGAGGTAAAGAAAGAAAAGGTGCTTGTCGATGATCAACTTTCCGAGAGTGATGGAAGTGGTGATAGGCTGGGATGTTGATAAGATAAAGTCGAGGTACAGAGGGGTCTATATAGACAAAGTAGGTAAGGTTCATTGAAATGGCCAAGCCTGGCGTTATGAAGTCTATGCATTCTGCCATGACCTTTGTGGCTCAATCCTAGCCTTCTTTGTAATCTAAAAGTAGAATAATGGTTTACCTTCTACCTATCTATCATGGCGATGTAGTATTTACTGGCTGGACCACCCATCAACTATCCCACAGTGGGGCCCAGCGACAAATGCTTAAACCGATGCTGAAGAGGGCTCAGAATACAGTTTGGTCACTTTGAGATGGCATCATGGATAGACCGAGTGAGCACCATAGGAGAACCACGGGCGATGCAACCATCAAAGTTCTGACGGTCTGTCCCTGCATACGCCCCGTCCGGTTAGCTAGAGCGCGACATACTCCGTTCTGTCGTTCAGCCTGGCAGACAAAGAACATGAGGTGGAGGAAATTATTCCCCTTCGGTCCATGTCGAGGCATTCTGATAGGGTTACACTCTCACCGGGCAAGACACGGGGCGCAACTTGTACGTGATTGAATGTTATGCTTATCAAATGTGGTGTCATTTTAACCCCAAACTTAGAATGGCTAACATCACTTTCAGTCTCTGGTCCATGTTGAGAGACAGTGACGGGGGCTATGGGTATAAAGGGATGTAGCATTTCCTTCCCTTTCCGCATTGTTCCTTACGTTTTCGGTCAACCAACTGTTTGTCATTCTTTTCTCACAGTTAAGCTCATTCATTTATCCATTCTATAAACTTACATTCGTTCCAGCCATTCAAGCAATGGTTTCGCGTCAAATTCTGGGGGTGCTCGCTCTGGCCCTCCTTTGTCTGTTCCAATCATGCGGCGCACTGCCATTTGAATCCGCACTTTCGCTGCATGCTTCTGGCCCCGAAGCTAAACTGGAACCTCGTCGGTTGGGTTTGGGAAGGCTTGGCCAGCTTGTGAGCAATATCGTTGATAGATCGAAAGGCTCGGGCGGGAGTGTGGGGGGAGGTCACAAAAAGTCTGACAACCATAGTGATGACAAGAAGGAAGAAAAAAAGGAGGATAAGAAGGAGGAAGCACCAAAGACAGCAACAACAGAGGCACGAAAGGCAGCAACAACGGAAGCGCCAAAGGAAGCGCCAAAGGAAGCGCCAAAGGAAGCGTCAAAGGCAACGCCAACGGAAGCGCCAAAGGAAGCACCAAAGGCAACGCCAACGGAAGCAGCAAAGGAAGCGGCAAAGGATGGCAAGAATGAAGACAAGCCTGGCTCTGGTGGATCACCCCAGCAGAAAGAGCAGCCAAAACAGTCAGGCCAACCAACGCAAGGCCAACAGCCAGCACAGTCGCAACAGCCTAGACAGCAACCACCAGAGCCAGCGCAAGGACAAGCGGCAGCACCGGGACAACAGCCAGCACCGGGACAACAGCCAGCACCGGGACAACAGCCAGCACCGGGACAACAGCCAGCACCGGGACAACAGCCAGCACTACAACCAGCAGAGCCAGCACAAGGGCAAGCGGCAGCACAGGGACAAGCGGCAGCACAGGGAC